TGGCAGTGATTCTCAACCTGGGGTCGCCAGATGTTTTGCCTTCAACTCCTAGAAATCCTAACAGTTAGTAAACTGGCTGAGATTTCTGGGAGTTGTAGGCCAAAAACATCTGGGGACCCCAGGTTGAGAACCACTGTCCTATGGCTTCATCGTACAGAAGTGGCAGGCCAGCTACTGATATCATGCCTACTACTTTAGTGCTTTTGTTTGCATCTTCTGTGCAATAAAGTTCTGAATTTACTGCTGGTGTTTAAACATTATCTCTATATCTTGGACTGAAGCTTCACTGTGCATAATATGTATCAGAAAGAAATTTGTCTCTTTGCAAAGCTCACACTGCAGTGGCAATTGATGCTTGATATGCTTATAAGGTAGCTGTCTATTTTCCTAATGTACTGAACATATTTTCAGGATATGTATTAGCACATTGGATTGATCCTTGAAAGGACAGACTCAAACCTGGAACAAATTTCATAAAAACTGGAATCATGGCTCTGAGATCAGGCCGGAGGTTTAACACAGCTGGTAAATCATCAGCAATTATAAGATCTATAAACCAAAATGTTGCAAGTTCGAAGCCCCGGGTTGGCATGAGCTGCCAACTGTCAGCCTAGCTCATTGTTTACCTAAGCAATGCAAAAACAGCTATAGATTTGATTAGAGAAATTAGGTACCGCTAAAAGCGGGGGAAGTGTTTTACGATGCTATAAAAAAAAAGATCAGAAAATGCTAGGCTACCAAAAGGAAGGAGGAAGTCCTGATGGCTATTCGTCATAGAGGATAGAGCAACAGCACCCCCTGGACTTGTGCCCAACCTTCCACGGCACCAAAAACAGCTGGACACTGTTTTGAAACAAACCACCTCCTTCTGTTGTCTGTCTGTCTGTGTATTGTCTATACAAAGCAGCAATGAATGTTTGCCGTGTATGTGTACTGTGATCTGCCCTGAGTCTCCTTTGGGGTGAGAAGGGTGGAATATAAATTATTATTATTATTATTATTATTATTATTATTATTATTATTATTGGAGTAGTGCAATAGGAGTCTAGAAATTTACATAATAATGATTCAGACTGGCCTTGGAATATGATTTGGATCATATGATTTTAATTGATGTTTTAATGCTATGTTATTAATGAGTTTCATTTTAACATTTTTGTTTATTTACCAATGTATTAATATACGGCATTGAATTGTTGTCTTTGTAAGTCCCCTTCAGGATTGAGAGGGTGAATGAATGAATATTAATATTATATTTTTCACTTTATGTTTCCTGGTGGTCAGGGTGAATCTATAGTACAATAAAAAAATCAAGAAAAATGTACAAAAAAATGATAATTGTAAGGAATTAGCTATCGGAAGAACTAACCTGGGGAAATTGTGGAGTTTATTATCCATCCTAACCCTATCTCTTTCTCCAGAAGTAAATTCCATGATCAAAAACTTTTATTGACTGCAGGGATTTTCTACATTTTCTAGTACAATACATTCAAAGGATAAGTCAAGCAGCCATTTCCTGCATATGGCAAGTCTTACATACCCTTTTAAGGTCACTAATATCAGGTGCAAAACCCGTGAGCATGGAGACATCAATGATGGACATTGTAGCATCAACATTACCAAGATATCTAGAATCAAAAGGAGAGAACAATGGTCCAGAAAGAGTTTAGCAATTGATTTGGTTTCAGATCTGTAAGTTCTTCACATTTTCAAAGTGATCGGTTGAGAAAGGCGGTATACAAATACAGTAAATAAAATAAATAAATAAATAATTCTGTTTGAAAAGGTGAAAAGTGAGATCTAGCACATGTTTATTGACTAATGTCTATGGAATCACCAAGGCATCTGCCTTCAATTACCAAAATGGTTCTGGTGAAAACTTATAAAATGCCTAAAGCTGTGCATGTGTGTCAAGAATTGTTATTATTCTAAGCTGAACAACTTGCCAAAATGTACAAGTGGAGGAGAAGAAGGGAATTTAACATTGGGTGGCTTTTATGTCATTGTCTACTGTCAATTACAAATCGTGAATCGCATTAAAACCAAAAACCTGCAGCACCTTAAAATTTGCTGTGCACCCATTTTCTCTCTCTACTGTATGCTAGATTTTTTTAGGCCAAGTTAAAGAACCCAAGAGAGGCCAAGTTGAAGTACTTTGGCCATATCATGAGAAGAAAGGAAAGCTTAGAGAAGACGATGATGCTGGGGAAAATGGAAGGAAAAAGGAAGAGAGTCTGACCAAGGGTAAGATGGATGGATGGTATCCTTGAAGTGACTGGCTTGACCTTGAAGGAGCTGGGGGTGGTGACGACCAACAGGGAGCTCTGGCGTGGACTGGTCCATGAAGTCACGAAGAGTCAGAAACGACTGAATGACTGAACAACAACAAAAGAACCCATGCCCTTCTAGGTGAAGTGGCCTGCAGTTCCCTTTAAACTTAATCATAAAGTCCAAATGACAAGAGATGATCGGGGCTACATTCCGCCAACACTTGGAGGTATATATAAATATATTTTCTCTATTCAAGGCAAAATGGTGCTATCCTATGCATAATGCACATACAATCCTGTGCATAATGCACATACACATGGATGAGGGCGAACAAATTGAAATTGAATCCAGACAAGACAGAGGTACTCCTGGTCAGTCGTAAGGCTGAACAGGGCATAGGATTACAGCCTGTGTTGGATGGGGTTACACTCCCCTGAAGACGCAGGTTCGCAGCTTGGGAGTGACTCTGGACTCATCGCTGAGCCTGGATCCCCAGGTTTCGGTGGTGGTCAGGGGAGCTTTTGCACAATTAAAACTTGTGTGCCAGCTGCGCCCGTACCTTGGGAAGTCTGACTTGGCTACGGTGGTCCACGCTCTGGTTACATCCCATCTAGACTACTGCAATGCTCTCTACGTGGGGTTGCCCTTGAAGACTGCTCGAAAGCTTCAAATGGTCCAGCGCTCGGCAGCCAGGTTGCTAACAGGAGCRGCACTCAAGGAGCATACCACTCCTCTGTTGCGCCAGCTCCACTGGCTGCCAATCTGCTACCGGGCACAATTCAAAGTGCTGCCGTTAGCCTATAAAGCCCTAAACGGTTCCGGCCCTACTTACCTCTCCGAACGCATCTCCACCTATGAACCGACTAGGACATTAAGATCGTCTGGGGAGGCCCTGCTCTCGATCCCGCCTGCATCACAGGCGCGCCTGGCGGGGACGAGGGACAGGGCCTTCTCGATGGTGGCCCCTCGGCTGTGGAATGCCCTACCTGTAGACATCAGACAGGCCCCTTTACTGTTGGCKTTCCGGAGGAAGGTGAAGACCTGGCTCTTCGAACAAGCATTTGGCTAAACAGTGCAATTGATTATAGGAATACGGTGCAACCGAACATAGGAACATGGAAGAAGGATTATGAGAATGGTTTCTGATTTAGTGTTGAGGCGTTATGATAATGATTGTTTATTGATATTGATTGTTATGTACAATGTGTTTTAATTGCCTATGATACTGTCTTGTGATAATTTGTACTATGTAAACCGCTTTGAGTCGTCTAAGGGTTGAGAAAAGTGGTATAGAAATAAAGTAAATAAATAAATAAATACAAGGCAAAGGTTTCAGTGGAAAAAACTACAGTGGGAAAAAATTGAGCTCTCCAAGGGTCACCCTTTGGTTTATGGTGTCTTCCGTTACAATCCTTGAGAGAAGGATATATTAAACTGCTTTGCAAATAAGACTCAACATATCTCAACCTTGTTAAAACAGAGAACATTTTGGGAAACGTTCTCAATGTGAATCTCTGGTTATGAGCAGGCCAGCACTCTCACCTGATACACATTTTGATCTCGATCGCCTGAAGGGATCCCTTTAGCTCCTTCTGGTCTAGATATTGTGAAGACAAGGGGGGAAAAGAGTTATTATTCATATAAACTCCAAATCTGTTCATGTATTTTAAGAATAGCCTTTATTGCCCAAGCAGCACTGAAGTCTCATCTATCACTGAGTCCTCCCATTTATGAGAACCCAGTAACAGACCCCTTCTGTCCAAATTCGTAGCAAGGGCTCTTCCACACAGCCCTATATCCCAGAATATCAAGGCAAAAAATTCCACATTATCTGATTCAGATAATCCAGTTCAAAGAAGATATTGTGGGATTTTCTGCCTTGCTATTCTGGGATATAAGACTGTGTGGAAGGGTACATCAAGATCTGTTAACAGTCCAAGTTGTGTTCTAATTCAGGAAAAGAGGATACGTGCATGAAGGCCTGTTCTGGAATAAAATATGACACTGTTCTTTGTGGCTACTGTGTTACCCCTTTATTTTCTTAACAATTTTGTCTTTCTCTTTTCCTCTCTGCTCCTATCTTTTACTCTCTGTCTTATGCATCTCCTTTGCCCTCTTGCGTCTCTTAGCTGAGTTTTCTTAAATGTCGAGTTTGTACTATTCCACCCATATTGTTATCCATCCTATTTCTATAGGAAATCGAAAATAAACAACATCACTTCATTATGGGAGTCCCCTTCATCAGTCAACTGGATTTTTCAATCCCAATCTGCAATTCTGTAAATATTGGAATCAAAGAACAAATACAGGGTGAGGGAGCATAACTTCCTTTTTTAAAATGTGCACCATTCAGTCAGTTGAAGACGTAGCGGAGCGTTAGTGGTCTCGTTCGAGAGGCGGCAGTATCAAGTTTTGTCCTGTCACAGTTCAGTCGCCATTATGCGTTGGAACAGTGAGGAGCGTGCTTTTGCCGTTGAGGCTTACTTTTCGAGCGGATTTGGAGTGGCCGGCCCGCTCTCCAGATTTGTGATTTTTTTCTATGGGGTTTTTTGAAATCCTGTGTTTCTGTGAACCGTCCAAGGACCCTCCAAGATTTGAAGACCAACATCCAGGAAGAAAATGCCAACATAACGCCTGCTATGCTGGCAAGAGTCATGACAAACGCTAGAAATCGGTTTACTCAATGTATGGAGAATGGAGAACGGGGGACGCCATCTACCTAATTCGATCTTCAAAACTATGTAAAACAAAACTTTAGGCATGCGCCTACATTATAAAAATATAATTTCTGATTCATACAATGGGTTTGATTAAGTTTTGAAAAAAGGAAGTTATGCTGCCTCACCCTGTATACCATTGAAAGAAATCAGGAATATGGGTAAGTGATGCATATGTATACATCTTGTTCAGAACATGTATACACCTTGCAGTTCAAAATGGTGAAAGCACTGTTTCTCATATTTATGAACTGTATTTCAGTGAAATGAGAAGGCAAAATCTAGTTGTTAGAAGCTATTGTTTCTATCAAAATGGAGTTACCACTCAGACTTACTCAGCTGGAGGGGTTTCACAGTAACATCAAGGGTGAATTTCTTGCACTGAGTTGCATCTGCTTTGGTCTGTGCATTATACACTGTCATAACCGTCATTGTTGCTTTTCCTTGGCCTGAGGCCTGCACAGTGAAATCTTCATTGAGTTTGGTCTGAAAAGTAACCAGAGTTAGCATGCCTTTGTAATGGATTCTCTTGATGTGTTTGAATTTATTCTGTACTGTTAAAATTACCGAGATTATATTATTCTAGTAATCTGCCTTGAAACAAAAGTAGGCTTTTGATCTATGAAACCAACTTTTTAGCGTATTGTCGAAGGCTTTCATGGCTGGAATCACTGGGTTGTTGTACATTTTTTCGGGCTATATGGCCATGGTCTAGAGGCATTTTCTCCTGACGTTTCGCCTGCGTCTATGGCAAGCATCCTCAGAGGTAGTGAGGTCTGTCGGAACTAGGGAAAAGGGTTTATATATCTGTGGAATGACCAGGGTGAGAAAAAGGACACTTGTCTGCTGGAGCTAGGTGTGAATGTTTCAACTGATCACCTTGATTAGCATATAATGGCCTGACAGTGCCTGGAGCAAACTTTTGTTGAGAGGTGATTAGATGATTAGAAAAGTTTGCTCCAGGCACTGTCAGGCCATTATATGCTAATCAAGGTGATCAGCTGAAACATTCACACCTAGCTCCAGCAGACAAGAATCCTTTATCTCACCCTGGTCATTTCACAGATATATAAACCCTTTTTCCTAGTTCCAAGAGATCTCACCACCTCTGAGGATGCTTGCCATAGATGCAGGCAAAACATCAGGAGAGAATGCCTCTAGACCTTGGCCATAGCATAAAAATCCTACAACAACCCAACTTTTTAGCTTTTGCAATGTGAATCAGCAATATGTTGGAAGATAATCCATGGAAGGAACAACAGCAATCTCTTTTCCTACTTCTTTCTGAAGATGCACTGATTACATTCTTCCCTATACAAATACTATTGAAATAAACAGAAGTGCCATTTTCGGAAATATTCTTCTGCAGGAAGAAAATGGGTTTAATTATTCTTTCTCCCTGGTAGAAATGAATAATTGAAATAAGTACATCTCCTGCCAATATATTATTTTTGTTCATCAAAGATGAGGAAATGTGTCAGCAATCCTTACATCTCTATCCTCCATCTTTTCAACAAACACACACATGCCCTGTTCTCTATCTTTACAATTGTAGCAGAACCACTTTTAAATGCACTCATTCACCAATGCTGCATCTAGTTGGTCCTCATTCCCAAACTAAGAAATAGGTACAAGACTGGCTTTTTGATTCTACCGTGTCTTGACAACAGAGAGCAAAATCTGAACTATGTCCCTCGAATATTGTGGGCAATTTACAGCTTTATTCTATACTCTCTCATGATAATTTGCCAAAAGAAGAATACATTTTTCTCGGGGTTTATTTCTTAATAACAGCATTAAACCAATTGCAGTTTTGTGGAGATAGGCAAGTCACTTGCAAATGAAAATATGGACAGCATTGTAAGAATTCACTTTTATTTTAGATTCTTGGTTTCACTGAGCTTTATGTAGTCTTAGCTATCTTCAACCCTTTCGATAAGTGGGTCATAAATCTAAACAAAACATTAACAACTCTTTCCAGAGCAGAACGAATGTGTAAAACAGGCTCAAATAAATAACAGATAAAACAATAAATTAAATGTGCTCAAAGAAGTGCTATACCTCTGCTGATCTGGCCAGAAGGGCAGTCTCATAGTTAATTCTGTACTGAATTGGATCTTGACGTTCCGGCAATTTGATGGCAACATTCAGGTTCAAGTCCTTATGGGTTGGTATGTCGATCTCGTACTGGGCAAGAGCTTGGAACACCATGATGGTTGCCTGAAATGGCAGAAGGAAAGTGGAATCAGCTCACTTTGAAGTGAATGGGCAGCCAAAATCTGGTGCTAAGATTTACCAGGGGGTTGGAGGATAAGCAGGTCAGTCCAACACTTTAAGGCATGCTTTCTTTAAAGTAATTATGTCGGCAGGATCAAATATTTGAAGATGTTGACATCTTATAGGAGGCCATGGTTCGGACTTAGGCCTTTATCACATTTGCTGCCGGAATCGCCATGGATTGTGGCAAATCCAGTGATGCCTAACATGAGGCATGAGAAACTCATCGCCCATTGTTACTCTGACTTTTAAATTTTATATTGTTAATAGCTTTAATTCTAAGCTCTTGTCTTTTAATGTTTAGGTGTCAAAATTTTAATTTCTGTGATGTCATTGTTTAATTTTCTTGGTAATATTTTATTATTATGGCAGTGAATATTTGTTGTTGCTTATTGGAAACTATCATGAATCCCTGTGGGGAGATAGGGTGGGATATAAATAAATAATAATAATAATAATAATTAACACAAAAATATTAGTACACAGCCATCAACGTCACTCTGCTGACTGTTGAATTGGATCACACGTCGGACACTTACCAAGTGTCTAGGACTGTGTGATGTATCGGCGAATAATGCATGCAGATCCCTTCTGCAGCTGGCAGATGGTAATTTTGTCAGTGCTCATTGTGTTTAAGTATAGGTCAAGGTCTTTAGGCACTGCACCCAGTGTGCCGATCACCACTGGGACCACCTTGACTGGCTTGTACCAAAGTCTTTGCAGTTCGATATTTACATCCTTGTATTGTGTCAGCTTTTCCAGTTGTTTCTCTTCAACCATGCTGTCCCCTGGGATTGCAACATCAAAAATCCATACTTTGTTTTTTAACATGATTGTGAGGTCAGGAGTATTGTATTATTATTATTATTATTATTATTATTATTATTATTCCTGACACGACAAAAATTATTATTATTATTATCATCATCATCATCATCACCCCACGCCCCTCATCACCTGACTTATCTCTAACCCCATCCCAAGGTGGGGGGGGGGGGGTTAGGAAGCACCCATTGCCCAGCTTCCCCTCATTGTTGCTAATGTAACACAGGAAGCCTCCCGTGTTGCCGGTTCCTCTTCAGTTTTGCTATGGAGTCCCACACTGAACGTGGGACCTCAATGAGGTTGAGAAGCTCGGTATATAGAAAAACTGTGAACGTAGCTGTATATTGTGGGATGGGAGCCAGTGGGCTCCGTAGCAAAACTGAAAAGGATGCCACTGAGTTTTTGGCTCATCTGATGAGGCTGTTAAGACTTTAGCACTGAAAGAAGGCTTGAACCATTCCTATTTTTGACAAACACATTTCTTCTTGAAAGCAGCTACTTAATTACATTGCAGGTCTAAATATTTCTATTTAGTAGGTAGGAAGAAATTTCTGCCATTCTTTCTCATTTATACCACCCCCTTCCTGGCGGTAACCCTCAGCTGGGTTTAATAATCCCTATGACGGAGCTGTATCACTTGAAATGGCAGGTGGAGGCATTTCATGTGTGTATAGATGCACCTTTATACAAAAAAGTCCCTCCATTTAGCATGTCAGGGAGAATGCTGTCATAAATCCTGCATCCATAACACACTACTTCAATATCTGCAGGAAATTATACTGTACTAGCGGTCCCCTGCCACACGTTGCTGTGGCCCAGTTTGGTGATCTAGAAAATAAAGTAATGAGAAAGTGTTGGTTTCTAATCTATGTAATGTCTTTATGCTTGTGAGTAAACCATATTTCTTGCTGTTTCTTTGCCAGTGCTGATGTAGAGATCGTCTGGTTTGCCTACTCTGGAACATGCAACATATCATTGTCCTTCTTTAGGGGTCCCTTTCAAAGTTTTAATACTGCATCTGTCATATACGTGTGTGTGTGTGTGTGTGTGTGTGTGTGTGTGTGTGTGTGAATGGCTGCATGGGCCTTTGTCAGGAGGGCTTTGATTATGTTTTCTTGCCCTGGTGAAGGGAAGTGGGCTGGATGGCCTTAAGGCAGCATTTCTCAACCTGGGACGTCAAGACCCCCGAGGGGGGGTCACCAGGGGGGTGTCAGAAGGTTCACCAAACACCATCAGAAAACACAGTATTTTCTGTTGGTCATGGGGGTTCTGTGTGGGATGTTTGGCCCAATTCCATCGTTGGTGGGGTTCTGAATGCTCTTTGATTGTAGATGAATTATACATCCTAGTAACTACAACTCCCAAATGTCAGGGCCTATTCCCCTAAACTCCATCTGTGTTCATATTTGAGTTTGATCCAGATCCATCTTTGTTTGAGTCCACAGTGTTCTCTAGATGTAGGTGAACTGTAACTCCAAAACTCAAGGTCAATGCACACCAAACCCTTCTAGTGTTTTCTGTTGGTCAGGGGAGTCCTGTGTGCCAAGTTTGGTTCATTGGTGGAGTTCAGAATGCTCTTTGATTATAGGTGAACTATAAATCCCAGCAACTACAACTCCCAAATGACAAAATCATAATTTTTTGAGTGATGGTCATTCCTTGTGTTGTGAGACGTTCTGTTGCCAAATTTGGTGTGATTTCGTTCATTGGTTCTTTTCTTTTTAAGGTACTCATTACACACAGAGCATTTTTATATATATAGATAGATGGAAGCTCCACCTTCAGAATGAAGTGGGAGGATCCAGCAGACCGGTTCACTTTCAAGCAGCCTGAAATAAAAATTAGACGATCTCAGAACAACAAAAGTGAAATGCTTACCTGGGTTTGTCCGTATGTTCCCCCATAATATTTCTGTTCTGTCAGCCATTTAACAATAGGGCCAGTATTCTCAAACTTCTTCATTTTCATCAGGGCCAGCAAGGCATAGGAGCTGCCTTCAATGTTGTAGGTACGGGCATTATATTCTTCCCAGCGGTTCCCGCCTAAATACAAAGAGAACTTGGTGAAACAGCTCTTGAGGGCATATGACTTCATTGTCCTAAATTCCTCTTCAATTTCTCTTAAAGTATCAGTCTCCATAAGAAAAAGACTATAATCTACCTCTTGGTTTTACAGTGCTTTGCTCCCACCTTCTACACAATCGCTGAAAAAGCTTCTGTATTGCCAATGTAGCTAAATATCAATATTACAAATACACATGCATACCCCTCAGAGAATTGTCAATATCTGAATGAGCCCCCAAATTACATTTCATGGTAATTAAGGTGGTGGGGGGAGAAGTCATTTAGTTAACTATTTACTATTGTCTTCTCTACTACTACTAACTTGGCCACTGCCTAAGGAAGCCATGCATTAATTGGGCATTTGCATATATGTCACCTAGATTTCAATTAATCTGAGCTGTTGTAGGTTTTTCAGGCTGTATGGCAATGTTCCAAAACCATTCTCTCCTGATGTTTTGCCTGCATCTATGGCAGGCATCCTCAGAGGTTGTGAGATCACAACCTCAGAGAATGCCTGCCATAGATGCAGGCGAAACTTCAGAAGAGAATGCTTCTGGAACATGGCCACACAGCTTGAAAAACCTACAACAACCCAGTGATTCCGGCCATGAAAGCCTTGGATAATACATTTCAATTAATCTGCCTAATAATTTAGCAGGAATAACATACATTTGAATAACGAGTTCAAGACAGAAAGATCCTCCGAGTCAGGGGTGTCAATGCAATTTGGAATAACTCGTTTCCCCACAAATAAGGTGGGGTCTTATATTAATTTGTGCTCCAAAAGATGTGTTAGGGCTTATTTTTGGGGATGTCTTATTTTTCCCCTGAGCAGAATGCAAGCAAACAAATACATTGCACTTTTGCTTCCAAGCAAGCTAGATGGTCAAATGATTAAGAACATACCCCAGAGAGGTCTGCACACCTTATCTCAAAAACCATTCTGAAGTGCAGATTTCTCACTTGAGATGGGGCAACCTTTAGCTTAATTGCTGACCATACAATAGCTAAGGCTAGTGTTACTAGCCTTGTATTCAGATCATAACAGAAACTGCTAGTCCTTTTGATTCTGTTCAGTGCCTTGCTCCAAAGATACCTGTTGATGCTGCCATGAGGACTCTGTCATCATTCAGTCTCCCTGCCAGGGCCAAAGAGTAGGCTGTCAGCGCTGTTGTATAAGGCCTTTGCAATGAATCATATTTCTTCTCTAAAAAGTCAGCAGCTTTGTTGATACTTCTATCTAGAACCTACATTGTAAAATTGAGGTGAAGAGAAGAGAAAAAAAGTATGTATGTGTTGGGAGCATTTGGAAAGCAGTTTTCAAACAGGTAGCATTTGATGCCAAGCAATGAACCTGGTTCATATTGAGGTCCAACCCCATGAGCTCAGGAACTTGTGAGAGCAGTTATGTGTCCTACTCACTTACACAATGAAGAAGACTGGACTTACTGTCACAAGATGATCTCCACTATTTTGCAAAAGCCAGAGCACCATGGGGCCAAAGGATGTGCTCATGGGACACTTCTCGGATGCCTGAGCATAGTTCTTTCTTCCTCTCCTTCTTCATTCCTCTCATACATACATGAGTCATCACCAGACACCAATCTGCTGTACTACCCAGATGCTGACTTATTCCTTCTCTGACCAGTTCTACACAACTACAGTAGCCCAAATTTATGTTTGGCCCGTATTGGATCATAAGGCCTTCACTTCTGAGTGACAAGTAATTTGTGGGCTGCTCTACTGGGCTCATTGGGATGTGAAAGTTGGATGTGAACAACAAGCACCATCATCAAAACAGAAAACAAAGCAACAAAATCATAAGACCTCTAATATTTTTCAATTCACACTCTAGTCCATGTTGGTCATCACTCCTATCTTTTAACTCTCCTTTTGACCCACCCAGATTTTGGGTAAATAATTCACTGCACAAAAATACACACTTCACTGTGGGGTGGGAAACATGTGACCTTTCAAGTGTGGCTTGACTGCAATCCCAGCAGTTCTTGCTAGCATAGCCAAAGGTGAAGAATGCTGGGTGTTATTATTCAACAACATCTCGAGGGCTACATGAGGGCTATATGATTCACTACATATGTTTAGCTTGGAGAAAAGAAGGTTGAGGGGAGACATGATAGCCATGTTTAAATATTTGAAAGGATATTACATTGGAGACTTTAGACACAGAACAATTGATTCAAATTGCAAAAAAAAAATCACTTAAACATTAGAAAGAACTTTCTGACAGTAAGAGTTGTTTGGCAATGGGATATGCTGCTTCCTCAGAGCATGATGGAGTCACCTTCTCTGGAGTCATCTTCTTCCTGCACTTGTCAGGAGGAGTGCTTTCATTGTTTGTTCCTGCCTGGTGGAATGGGGTTGGACTGCATGGCCCTTGTAATCTTTCTTACTACAGATCTACTTACGTTGACATGTTGCTCACAGAGACTTTTGGATTCCAGCAATGCAATCAGGACAAAAGCTGTTAATGCCGCTTCTGGTTCAGCACCCTTATAGCCTCCCTAAAAGAAAACAGAGGAAAGAAGAAAGCAGAAATTGAATGCAGGAGTCCGACTTTTAAGGAGCTGTTCAAGGTCCTGAATCTTGTCCCTTAAATAGGTTTAGCACTCTTCTTGTTTCTTTAGAGTTGAGACTAAGACCCAGAGCAGAACATTTCCTTGCCACAGAAGCCACCAATAGCCACTGCACACTATCTTTGGCATTTGAAACAAGAAAACTTGGGTATATCAGACAACAAAAAATCCTAGGGAACCAAAAACACAAAAGACAAAATGCTTTAAATTTGAACAGTATTATTTTAATGATTTGAGATTACTGCAATTCCTCCAGTCCCCCCCCCCCAAAAAAATACCAGAAGTAATTGAGCATAAAACGGTGGTGTTTCCAGCAAGATGCTTCCAGAAGTGTCATTCAAAAGATATTGTGCAGCTACTTTGCCATCTATTCAGTAACAGATTTTCCATGAGAAAAACAATTTGGAAGAAACACTGCAAAACACAGTAAGATTGCAAGCAGAAGGTCAACTTGTCTGGCTCGCCTGCAAAATCCCTTGAGTGAAGTTTACACCAGGTTAAATGAACGTCACATTTCCAATCCTTATTGCTAAAGTTCCCATTTTCTCCCAAATTGGATTATCCTCTGTCTCATCTCTCTTTGCATGCTTGTTTCTTTAGAGTTGAGACTAAGACCCAGAGCAAAACATTTCCTTGACACAGAAGCCACCAACAGCCACTGCACGGTTCGGGCCCCGCCTATCTTCGCGGTTGCATCTCCCTCTATGAACCGGTGCAAACTTTAAGATCTTCCGGGGAGGCCCTCCTTTCCCTCCCATTACCATCACAAGCACGGTTGGTGGGGACGAGAGGGCCTTCTCGGTGGTGGCCCCTCGCCTCTGGAACGTCCTTCCTGGAGAAATAAGACAGGCCCCATCCCTCCCCTCTTTTCGTAAGAGCCTGAAGACCTGGTGGTTTAAACAAACCTTTGAGAATGACTAGTTCTAGCTCTGCCCCAGATACTGTAGAAATTGGCCATATCTTTTTCTACCAATTACCCAGGTCATTTTCTTCTATTAGGCCCTGGAAATGTACAGCCATAGACTACCTAATTTCCTGGGCCCTCTAAAATCGCACTAGCCCGGCTTTTTAAACAGCCTTGAACAGGCAGGATTATTTTAAATATATGTGCTATTGTGGTTTTTAATGCTTATTTTGTCTTGTTAATTTTATGTTCATGCTGTTCTCTTTGTATGTATCCATTATGTCACTTGGAAACCGTTCTGAGTCCCCTTGGTGAGACAGAGTGGTATATAAATAAAGTTTTGTTGTTAGGTTCTTGTGGGTTTTTTCGGGCTATAGGGCCATGTTCTAGAGGCATTTTCTCCTGACGTTTCACCTGCATCTATGGCAAGCATACCTCTGAGGATGCTTGCCATAGATGCAGGCGAAACATCAGGAGAAAATGCCTCTAGAACATGACCCTATAGCCCGAAAAAACCCACAAGAACCTAGTGATTCCAGCCATGAAAGCCTTGGACAATACAAGTTTTGTTGTTGTTGTTGTTGAATACTCTTCCTTCTCCTCTGTAATAAGAAGCTCAATAATAAACTTTATTTGTATACTGTCCTATCTCCCCTCTGGGGACTCAGGATGGCTTGCAACATGGAGGCAACCATTTAATGCCAAGAATACATACTACAAAAAACAGATAAATTAATATAAAACAATTAAACAAACTAAACAATAACAATCAACAAAACACAATCAGGTAAACAAACTCTATAGAACAAAATTAAGTTTTAATTCTCCTCTGCTTCTTCCTGGCTCTGCTCTTCCCTACCTTAAGAAGCCTTCTACTTTCTGGTGATTGGAATTTCTCCTTTAATTCCCTTGAAATCTACCCTGTCTTGACCTTACATGAATCATACTTATTCCCCTCTCCCCATTTATAATCACATTTTGCTACCTCTCTTACTGTCTTTTGTTCACCCGTTATGTTTATCTGGTCCAAACAGTGAGTTACTTCATTTCTGTTTTATAGTCTTCTGGGTAAAAAGAAAAAAAAATCTGCACTGCAGAAACAAACAGAAAGAAAGCATACCACCATCTCTCCATGAATCACAGGGGCATCTTCACTGAAAACCCCATCTGGCTTTTGTTTCTCCAGAATCAGCCACTTCACACCTCCGCAGACAATCTGGACATCAATAGTCGATACAATTTTGGAAGCCAAGGAAAAGACTTTCACTACATATGCTGTTAGCCTGCAAGAAAAACAGAATGCATCAGTTGAGGCTAATCCAAAGTTAAACACTTCACACTTCTGTAGAAATAGAGAAGGATCTCTACACACTTGTTAGATGGAATGAATTCATTACTTAAAAATCCCAATGTGTTTTGGCTATTTATTTATCGTATCAGAAGCAAACCGAGGGTACATAGAATCAAAGAATCATAGAATCAAAGAGTTGGGAAGAGACCTCATGGGCCATCCAGTCCAACCCCCTGCCAAGAAGCAGGAATACTGCATTCAAATCACCCCTGACAGATGGCCATCCAGCCTCTGTTTAAAAGCTTCCAAAGAAGGAGCCTCTACCACACTCCGGGGCAGAGAGTTCCACTGCTAAACGGCTCTCACAGTCAGGAAGTTCTTCCTCATGTTCAGATGGAATCTCCTTTCTTGTAGTTTGAAGCCATTGTTTCGCATCCTAGTCTCCAGGGAAGCAGAAAACAAGCTTGCTCCCTCCTCCCTGTGGCTTCCTCTCACATATTTATACATGGCTATCATATCTCCTCTCAGTCTTCAATTCTTCAGACTAAACATGCCCAGCTCCTTAAGCCACTCCTCATAGGGCTTGTTGTAATGTATTTCAAAAAACCCACAGAGTTTAAAAACTTGGCATTATACTAAATATCCTTTGACCAGTAACTGGCCACTTGGAGTGCCTATGGTGCTGCTATAAGGAGGTCTTCCATTATGATTTGGCAGGGCTCAGACTGCATTGTAATAGGTGGTCTGTGGTCTGCTCTTCTCCACACTCACATGTTGTGGACTCCACTTTGTGGCCCCATTTCTTAAGGTTGGCTCTGCATAGTCTATTTAGCACCTTCCAAGTTGCCCAGTCTTCTGTGTGCCCAGGGTGAGTTTCTCATTTGGTATCAGCCATGGCTTGAGATTCTGGGTTTTAACCTGCCACTCTTGCTTGCTGAGGTGTTCCTGCAAGTATCTCTGTAGATCTTAGAAAACTATTTCTTGACTTAAGGCATTGGTGTGCTGGCTGATATCCAAACAGAGGATGGGCTGGAGATGTCACTGCCTTGGTCTTTTCATTATTGGCTGCTACCCAGCGGATGTCAGGTGGTGCAATACTGGCTAAACAGTATAATTTCTCCAGTGGTATAGGGCATAGATATCCTGTGATAATGTGGCATATCTTATTAAGAGCTGTTTTAATGTGGTGAGATGTGTTTCATACTGGACATGCATACTCAGCAGCAGAGTAGCAAAACGCAAGGACAGATGTCTTCACTGTATATGGTTGCAATCCCCAGGTTTATCAACCTACACCTGTTGATAAACTCTACAAGCTAGCTGGCATTGCCCCCCCCCCCCCGATGTGCGACTGGAAGTTGCTGCTAACACTGTGAAAGCCATCCACCTCATGGCTACCAGCCTCCTCCCAGTAGACTCAAATCAAGGAAAAGCTGTATGAGAACCACCACTCCTTTTGGCGTCCCCCCAGCAACAGCAAGGGTATCCCTCTGGGCAGCTGAACCAGGAAATCCCAACTGGATGACCCCCCACGAGGGTCTTCCTCCCAAACCAAGAATGGGCAACTTGGAAGTCCCTGAACAGATTCAGAAGTGGAGTGGGCAGATCAAAAGACAACCTGGCAAAATGGCACTACCTAAAAGAATCCCACACCTTGTGACTGTGGAGCAGAACAGACAACTCCGCATCTGTATGCTTGTCCACTATGCCCTGCCTCATGTACAGAGGAAGAATTGTTGGAGGCTACAGACAATGCCATTGCTGTTGCCCGTTTTTGGTCAAAAGATATTTAGCCACCTGTGCTCCTTCTATTTGTATCAGTTTTATACTAATTTATGCAATGCTTTTGATACAAAAAATTTTAAACCCCCAGGTTGTGCCAGTCAGATTTCGTATAATATTGTTTCTAGCACCCACTTATTGCTTGATATTCAAGCAGTGCTTCTAGTAGGTCAGCGGATGGTCCAGGGTAAATCCCAGGTATTTGGGTGTGTTTTGGCTAATCTATTTGTATATAGGTTGAAATGTGTTGGGCTTGCTTTGCTTTTAATTGTATGTTGCCTGGGCTTGGCCCCATGTAAGCCACCCCAAGTCCCTTTGGGGCGATGGAGGCGGAGTAGAAAAATAAAGTTGTTGTTGTTGCTGCTGCTGCTCTTCTTCTTCTTCTTCTTCTTCTTCTTCTTCTTCTTCCTCTTCCTCTGCTTCTTCTTCTTTGTCTTCTTCTTCTTCTTCTTCTTCTTCTTTAGCAATCTCTGGCATTTGTAGAACCCTCCTCCATCACCATATTTCAAACCCCAAGAAAAAGAATATGTCATAGAAATGGAAGAAGAAACCAATTTGCTATATAAGTTAGAGCAAGAGAATGCAAGTATCCAAAAGTCAGTGTGATGGGAGCTAAATGATGCTGGCAAGCCCACCACAGATTTAAGTACAGTCCTACAGCTGTATTGCTCCTACCAGGTGCTAGATGGGCGATGTATCCAAGCTGCATAGGAGTGGTCTGGTTTCTTGTATGTCATCTGCTGAGCATAACCTGAAAATACAAGAGAAGAAGAATGAAAAAGAGAGGGGAGTGGGGTGTTAGTCCAGCATCTGGACAGAGTCATCAGAGACACAAATATAGCCTGAAAAAGTCCCGTGCTTCCCCTTTTTCCTTACATTGTACTTTCTCATGTCTACTGATTTTCTTTTACTCATTCACTTGGCTTCTGCTTATGTCCCCTTTTCTCTGTCATGCAACTTGCAATCCAGTCCAAAGCTGAAATCATCACTAGCTAATCCAGAATATTTCATCAAGAAGAGGCTAGAGAGGAGAGAAGGCACCACAGGGAGCTGGTGCATTCTTCTCTCTCTAACATCTTGTTTTTTCCATTTCTTCATTTTTCCATATTTTTTAAAAAAATTGAGACAGTTTCCATCTCAGTATCACAATATTTTCTAGAATTCAGTTCTTCAAAAAAAATTGAAGCTCAGGCATATAAGTCTTCATTAATTTTCTTCTCAAGGAAAGCACCATGTAATTTTAGCAATTTAGTTAGGGGTTCAGCCCCCCCCCCCCCTGAAATTTTTCAGGTAAAAAAAAACCTGGTTTACTCATGAATTTTAAATGGTTAACCAAATCCCCATGCTAAATTTATGAAAAGCAAAAAATAAATGAATTCCTCCAGAACAGCAAGCACTATCTCAAGCAAATTTTGACAATTTATTCACACTATCATTACTTGCAGCAATAGCTAATATAGTGGAAGCAACCAAGTTGGCCCAGCCATAACTGGCAGGCAAAGCCTAAGACCTGGGTCGGAGGGGGGGATCTGATGGCCCTCATGAAGGAGACCAGATTTGGTGAGGGTGAGGGTGGTTGACAGGGGTGCAGCGGTTCTGGCCCTACTTACCTCTCCGAACACATCTCCTCCTATGAACTGACTAGGACACTAAGATCATCTGGGGAGGCCCTGCTCTCTGTCCTGCCTGCATCACAGGCGCGCTTGGCGGGGACGAGAGACAGGGCCTTCTCAGTGGTGGCCCCTCGGCTGTGGAATGCCCTGCCTGCAGATATTAGATCGGCCTCCTCCCTGCTGGCGTTTCGGAGGAAAGTGAAGACCTGGCTGTTCGAACAAGCATTTGATTAAACAGTGTAATTGACCATAGGAATGGAATAATGGATGATGAGACTGGATTCTGATTTTACTGTTGAGGTGTTCATGATTGTTATTCTGATGTTTAATTATTTATGTTACAATTATTTTTCATTGCCCTATACTTGTCTCGTGATGTTTTGTATCGATGTTGTTTACTGCTTTGAGTTGCCTGCAGGCTGAGAAAAGCGGTATATAAATAAAGTAAATAAATAATAAATAATAGACTATTTAAGGCTCCTCTGCTCCTCTGCTGTGCTCTTTGTTTCAGCATGAGGTAGGAGGCAGGTTCCTAATGGGGAATTAGACCTTTTCCTCCTTGCCCCTCCCCCCTTTTCCAGATAGTGGGGTTCCCATTGCTATGCCTTTGCCCCAGGGAGACACCCTACAATTTGGGCAGTTTCTGTCCTCGGCATTTATTGGCAGGGATTTCCCAGCAGAGCATAAGGGTCGGAGGTTTGTGTAGCTGCACTAAGCAGAGTTCCCCTCCTGGGTTGCCTCAAGGAAGACACATTCTGTAGCAGAGGAGGTTTGCCCTCCCTCGCCCCACTTTAGAATAAACTCTTAATAAGTTGTTGCCTGGGAGAGTCACACTCTTTTCTCAAGCTTCAAGTCATGATTGCTAGGCCACAGAGGAAGGTTGCAGACAACTGTTCCTTTAAAATAATGCTTAATGAATTGTTGTTTGGAGGAAGTCCCACTCTCTCAGCCCCAGGAAGGCTCAGGCAATTCCACTCATTAACTGTGTCTTCATATACTGAGGCCTACATTTTATTGCATGTCTCATGTTAGGAGTTAAGCTTTGGCATCATGTTATGCCTCGTCCAATCATGGCTTCCCCCCTGCCTCATCACATGAGGGGAAGCCTTTTTTTTGGTGGCTCAACCCATCTTTCCTTATGAAAAGATGGGGAGCCTGCTGCTGTCTGCTGTCACAATTTTTTCAGCTGCGTCTGCACTTCAGTCATGGAGTTGCTCTGGAAGTAGTTATCCAGGATGTGATGGGAGCCATCCAGGTTCCATGGCTAAAGACTAAATATACTCTTGCGCTGCCAAAAATAAGGTACATGTGAAGAGGTCCTAATTTAAGTATCAGATACACTGTAAGAGTGTGAGGAATAATGGGGGAACCACCCTTAAGGGAAGGAAAGCATACTTCCTTAATCCAATGGAAAGATATACAAGCCATGGCTCAAGACATGTTGATGACCATCAACTGAGTGGCTGTGAGGGAGATGTGTGGGATGGGTGGGACTGAAGGACAATAAAAAGGAAAGATGCAGAGAGAGAGAAGGAGGAAGACAAGAAAGAATGGGAGGAAATGCCTTGGAATCTTTCTGTGAAGAGACTGCAATAAAAGAACTCTTGTGATGCTCTTGACCAGCTTGCCTGCTTTTGCTTGGAGACTGTTACACTGTGTTTAGGTTACCCAAATGACAGAGGAAAATCTTTTGACATGAATGACATTCCTCTCTCCATAGAAGAGGAACAAAATGCTCTACTCACACACCTCCATCCCAATAATCTGAAATGGTCTGAAATTCAGTGAGGCCCTGGATGAATCATTCTAGTGCAGAGCTTCTTAAACTATGGGTCAGGTCCCCAAATGGGGTTGCTGTAATTTTATGTTGGCATTGCCTTCCCTTCTCTCAAGTTCAAAAAGCTTAAGAAGCCCTGGTCTAGAAGACCACTGCATTAAGTGGTAGAAGGAGAAGAACCAAGATGCTTGTTTGTTTTACCTTGCAAAATCTGCTTGATGGCTTCAGCCCTGCGATTCACCCCAACCTTCTCCCATTGCTCCATGGTGTCTAGATAGTGGGTGGCAATAACCGATGGTGTCATGGTGATCATGTTCTGCTCTCCACACCCAGAAGGTGTTATGATGAGATGTTTCAGGTTGCTTCCGTCAATTGATTGTTCAACAATCTGAGCCACAGGGTCTCCTAAGAATGCACACAAAACGCATGTTAATCCCCAAGCACAGAAAACTGTGGATTATACCTTGCAGGACTGCTCTCCCACTGCTCTAGAACAAAATCACTCATTTGGCATCAAAAGTAAGTATAATTTCAGCTTTCAGCCCTAATGCAAGTGTAATTTCCCATGTTATACAGGATACAGCCATTGTTCCTGTATGAATCAGTGGGGACCTATGTCTTCTGCGACAGCAGGATGGTGAAACGGCTCTGGATTTCAGTCTGAACTTCAAAGGAGCTATCCAAAGTACCAAGAATAGGCTTAGTTAGCACCTTGGATCACTCCAAACAGAATTACAGCCTCACAGTCCTGGAAACTTGATGGGAATAGTTTTGCCCACACTCAAGCACTGCTATATGGGTAAAAGTGCAGTGAGTGTATTCCGGGTGCTGGTGGGTTTGAGAAAAAGGTTTGGTTGGAAGTGGGGTTAATCCTTTTCACTTCTATACTTCTATCATTCTGTATAAATCAAGCTCTTGCCTTGGACGCTGATTTTGGTCTCCGTTTCAGTTCCAGGAACAATGTCTTCTAAGGGCTTAGCTTTCACCAGCTCTTCTTGGACTCCATCTTGGAGGGGGGGGGGGGAGAAAAAGTGGGAAATTACAAAGCAATATATATGTGTGTGTATGTGTGTGTTATTTGCACATTATTTTTTTCTTTCTCACCCCCATTTTAAATTTATATTTTAACATAAAAAAMCAAWAAAGAAAYGAACAGTGCATACATATATGTGTGTGTGTGTGTGTGTGTGTACACACACACACATACATACATATATACATACATAAATATACTTAAACAATAGAACTAACCACACAATTTCTCCCACAAATAGCCAATTCTAATTACGTATAAATCTAAAATAGAAACATGTATGCATTAGTTTAGAAATTATTTTCTGCTCCCTTCTGTTTGTGTTTCTGTCATTTAAGACTTTCCTTCCACTGTATATCCAGCATTTTTTTTAACTTCTCCTTGTTTATATATTATCAAATTAATATCCCAACCCGCTATAGCTTGAAGTACATAAAGGCTCCCCCCCCACACACCTCTTTCACACATACAGATTGAAAAGTTTCCATTTTTCTAAGAATGTATCTAGTTATTTATCCTTCAACAAAGTTGTTAACTTGTCCATTTTTATTAGCTTCTATATCTTCACTGTTCAATCGTCTATAGCTTGCATGTCTGACTTTTTCCATCATTGAGCATATAGGATTCTTGCCACTGCTAAAAAGGAAGAGTTACTTCTTTTGTCATGACTGTTTTAAATATATGTAGTTCTCTTGTTGGTGGAGCAGTGAATCTGCTCCAGGTGTAGCGGCAGACACTAGCCTGTACGTTTGGACGCAAATGGCGCAGAAGAACAATACCAGGCTCCAATAATGTTCCAAGTTCAGGCTTTACTATTTCCAATGGGAAAGGATGAGAAACCTGAGCATGGAGCTGAATCAAATCATTTTCACACCCCATGATTTGAACAGAGCACATATTTATACCCAATTGCTTATATAACTTGTTGACAACAATCAATTATTAATACATAGAAAAACATCTTAATCATGAAGTAATTCATTTCTTATATTTAAGGTGTCTAAATGCTATATTTCTCTATGTAATTTCTCCTTTATTACTAGGATGAACCTTTAAAAAACCAGAGTGATGAAGCTTGTTTGCAAAATATGTTCAGTACCTTGGAGAGTGTTTTGAACCGAATCTAAAGTTGACCAAAAACCAATTTGCAATCTTTTTGATACTAATGTTAGAGAGTGGTCCCTGGTCAAACTGGTCCCTGGTCAAAAAAAGGTTGTGAACTGCTGGCCTAGAGTGTCAGGCAAAAGGTCTCTTCTTATTACTTGTTATCCCACTATTTTAACTGGAGCAGCCCAAGACTCAATCTGCAATCATCTTTTTATATTTAAATATCCACTGAAATCTGCTTTAGAAAACATTTAAAGAAGATAGGTGAAAGGCTTAAGCAAAAAAAAAAAATCTTCACAGGGCTCAAGAAAGTGTTTTTTAAAAGGAAACCCTTATAAGAATGGCTTTCACTCACTTTTTCCTTTTGTAGATGGTTCCAATTGAATGACATTCACAATTGTTCTTCGCATCCCTTCAGGCTGGCAAAGAAGTAAATACAATGCTCATGGTGAAGGTCTCCCCAGAAATAAAATAATGCAATCACAGCAACAGAAAGGAACTAAAATGGCAAAATAGAATTACTGAACCCCATCTAGTTACTGGTTAAAACACAGTTTTGCTGTGCATGGACCTGCCTAAATATCTTTTAAAACCATTGCTGAAATCAGAGCTTTTTAAAATCCTTGATCATAGAATCAAAGAATCCTAGAGTTGGAAAAAACCTCATTGGCCATCCAGTCCAAGCCCCTGCCAAGAAGCAGGAATATTGCATTCAAAGCACCCCTGACAGATGGCCATCCAGCCTCTGTTTAAAAGCTTCCAAAGAAGGAGCTTCCACCACACTCCGGAAGAGAGTTCCACTGCTGAACAGCTCTCACAGTCAGGAAGTTCTTCCTCATGTTCAGATGGAATCTCCTTTCCTTTGGTTTGAAGCCATTGTTCCATGTCCTAGTCTCCAGGAAGCAGAAAACAAGCTTGCTCCCTCCTCCCTGTGGCTTTCTCTCACATATTTATATATGGCTATCATATCTCCTCTCAGCCTTCTCTTCTTCAGGCTAAACATGCCCAGCTCCTTAAGCCGCTCCTCATAGGGCTTGTTCTCCAGACCCTTGATCATTTTAGTCACCCTCCTCTGGACACATTCCAGCTTGTCAATATCTCTCTTGAATTGTGGTGCCCAGAATTGGACACAGTATTCCAGGTGTGGTCTAACCAAGCGGAATAGAGGGGTACCATTACTTCCCTAGATCTAGACACTATGCTCGTATTAATGCAGGCCAAAATCCAATTGGCTTTCTTTGCTGCCACATCACATTGTTGCCTCATGTTTAACTTGTTGTCCATGAGGACTCCAAGATCTTTTTCACACATACTGCTCTCGAGCCAGGCATTGTCCCTCATTCTGTATCTTTGCATTTCGTTTTTTGTGCCTAAGTGGAGTATCTTGCATTTGTCACTGTTAAACTTCATTTTGTTAGTTTTGGCCCATCTCTCTAATCTGTCAAGATCATTTTGATTTCTGCTCCTGTCCTCTGGAGTATTGGCTATCCCTCCCAATTTGGTGTTGTCTGCAAACTTGATGATCATGCCTTCTAGCCCTTCATTAATAAAGATGTTGAACAGGACCGGGCCCAGGACGGAACCCTGCTTTGGCACTCCACTCGTCACTTCTTTCCAGGATGAAGAGGAAGCATTGGGGAGAATCACCCTCTGGGTTCGTCCATTTAACCAATTACAGATCCATCTACCCGTAGTTTTGCCTAGCCCACATTGGACTAGTTTGTTTGCCAGAAGGTCATGAAGGACCTTGTCAAAGGCCTTACATTGTCCAACAATGGGCAAATTAATGGGCTTTATTTCTTCTCTTTTTTAAATGGCTGGTTTCATAATTTTGTCTTATGATACTTCAGTTAATTTTATATAACTCTGGCACCATCCCTTTGTTTTTCTTTCACCGCTTTTTTCATCTGACTGTGCATTGGAATTATATTTTTATTTTTCTCATCTATTATGTATGTATGTATGTATTTATACTATTTCTATCCTGCCCATATCAGCCCAAAGGCGACTCAGGGTGGCATACAAAGTTGGCACAATTCAATGCCATATTATAAAATGCATACATTGATAAAAAGCGAAAAACAATCTAAGACGTCTTGATGGAACGTAAAGGACAGGGTATAAATAACTGACATAAATAAATATACGGAACGATTAAAATTTCATATTCTTGGTATGCCCCTTTCAAAAATCATTTTAAAAAGCACCAGCAGCAGGGACAGAGCAGATGAGCCGAGGGACAAGACCGTTCTGGACACAGTCCCTCTTTGTGCTGATTTCATGGGAGGGCCAGGTGTAATACCTACCACAACCCGGAGCTTCTTCTTCACACCATCGGACACCAAGACATTCCAGACAGCTGCTTTGACCTCGATGTCATGGAATCCCAACTCAAGAGGGACCAACACAAACGGCACTGCCGTGGAGGACTGGCCCATGATAGTGATATCATGCCTGTAGCGCTGCTTGGAAGTGGAAGCGCTGCAGAAGGCCGGGTTGTGCATCAGCTCCACTCGTACCTGGGGACAAAAGAGAGAAGGAAGGGGTCTTTAAAAGCAATGCAAGCAAAACGGACCAAGGGAGAAGACAGTTCCTTTTCTTGGCTCTTTTGCTCGAGCAGCTACCTGATTTCTATTCTGTTCCAACCTCCACATTTAGCTTTATTTCTATCCAGACCATCAAGTCAGAGTCAATCACTAAGATAAATGAAAAATTAACTTTATGATGGAACTAAGGAACAGTAACTTAGAAATGAAGTAAATGATGAGTAGCGGGATGAGATTTTAACAAAGAGATGTGCCAACTAGGCAGCAGAAAGCTAACTGAGGAGACTTGGGAAGAGTCAGGCTGAACCAGTTGACAATAGATCTATATGGAGCACACTGTTTTAGGATGGAAAATTAGGACCCACAGACCATAATGGAAATGCCCCGAGGGGCAGAACATGATATCTTATCCCCTCACAAATTGCTACAAGTAGACTTTCCACTCACATACATAATCTAATATCATTATTATTGGTAGTAAACAAATTTGTTGTTGCTCTTATCTTGGTCATCATGGCAAGCTTCTCATAAGATTTTATTGGAAAAGTGTTTGTTTTTTTCCAAAAGGAGATTCCTTATGTCTTCTTTTAGGTTGAAAAAATGTGGTTTGCCCAAGGTCATGCAATACCCCATTGCAAAATTGCCTTTCTCTTTCAGACTGGTTATAGCTGGCATACTTAGTATCCACCCCCTGTGTGATATATCAGACTGCATCCAATGATACGTCATGGGCTGACTTTCAAGAAAATTGGGGCAACACTAACCATGTTGTCTTTCACCTTGACCCACAGGGAGAGGTGGGATGATGATGATGATGATGATAATAATAATAATTTATTTTTATTTATCACAACAGAAGCAAACAGAGGGTACAGTTGTAATATATATATTTAAAAACACACACAGAACAAAATGTATTATTATTATTATGCAACCAGCTTGAAGCATAATAATAATAATAATAATAATAATAATAATAATAATAATAATATATTTTTTTCGTGTCAGGAATGACTTGAGAAACCGCAAGTTGCTTCTGGTGTGAGAGAATTGGCCATCTGCAAGGATGTTGCCCAGGGGATGCCCGGATGTTTTTGATGTTTTATCATACTTGTGGGAGGCTTCTCTCATGTCCCCGCATGAGGAGCTGGAGCTGATAGAGGGAGCTCATCYGCACTTTCCCCGGATTTGAACCTGYGAYCTGTCGGTCTTCAGTCCTGCCGGCACAGGGGTTTAACCCACTGCGCCACCAGGGGCTCCATAATAATAATAATAATAATAATAATAATAATAATAATAATAGTAGTAGTAATATATGAAATATAAGATTAATCATGCTTGGAGTGCCCTGAAAGCTGGCCTCCCTTGCAGGTGGGAGGAGAAGGTACCACCCAGCAGTTTTCATTACAGCAGGAATAATTATGTCAAATGCTTAATTCTGATTCTGAACTATGAATTTTAAATTGATATTTTATAAGTATTGGTGTTCTGTGTCTTTAATATATGTGTTTCATGGTACTTTGTTTCATCTATGTATTTTAACTATATTGTACTCTGCCACGAGCCAAAACATTCATGGGTTTCGGTCCCTCTACAGAGCCAAAGTATTGCAATAAACCAATAAAGTTAAAGGCTGTTTCTTCTCAACATAATGTTTATACCATCTCTTTATTTCTCCCTGCTCACGTACTGCCCCATGGCTTGCTCCTCACTGTTAGAAGCTACAAAGCCCTGTACAAGCCCAAAGCATACCTTGATCAATTCTGACCCGTAGTTGTAGAGAACACATCGAATCTCCACCTGCTCATTCCTGACTACTGAGTAAGGAAGCCTTAGATCCATAAAGAAGTCTTTCATGACAGTTATTTCATAAGGATCAGCTACACAGATGCCTGTATGGAAGATAAGCAAAGAAGGAAGTAGATTGAGAATCAAAACCAGTCATGCACAAAGGACTTACTGCATGAAGCTGTTAGCCTGCAGCATTCCCACAACCATAGATGGTAGCAGCTTACCAGTATAGTCACCCTGTTCTGTGCACCACTGCTAACATTGTACGAGGGGTATTTTTTTAAGTAAGGTCCGTTTTGTTGTAGACACTAGTAGTTTGCGCGCATACCGCAACGAGCATGTGCGTCATGTACCGGCATGCCTCGGGAACAACTGTGCTCAGTTTCCGCTCTGTAGCTAACCTGTACGGTTCTGTTCTGTGCTTTAAAAATGTTTAAGACTATCAACTTACCCGCCGCATGTGAGGTTCGCTCAATGATACGGTTTTTGTCAGCAAGGAACCTGCCTGCTGCAGAAATTCATCGACAGATTTGTGAAGTGTACGGTGATACTATTATGAGTGAAAACAAAGTGTGTAAGTGGGTACGACAATTCAAAGATGGCCATGACAACGTCCATGATGAGGACCACTCCAATCGCCCTTCTTTGATTACAGACAATTTGGTGGCTTTTGGTGGCAAGTTTTTATGAAGAGGGTATTTTAAAATTGGTTCAGAGGTATGATAAGTGTTTGAACAAACTTGGCAACCATGTCAAAAAATAGAGTGAAGTATATACTTTCTGAAAATCAATTTACTTTTTTGAAATAAATTTTCGTTGTGTACTTATGTTCAAATGGACCTTACTTAAAAAACACCCCTCATACAATGTGATGTCTTATAAGTGCAAAATCCTATTGTTGCACTTCTGGGTGGGTGCTGTAACTCCACCCTCTCACTGTGCAATTTCCCCCACTTTTTAATTTTTAAAAGATACTTCGCAATTACACAAAGTGTAAATGCAAAGCGAAAAAAGTCGTCTTTTTCAAAGAAGAAAAGAAAAGGGCAATCCCACTCTCTGACGTCAACAGCATGCTGCCACAGAATTGTCTAGGATCACTGAATCAGGTAGGCTGCGGCACCATGGCATGATCTGGAGATACTGACAGATTTTGCCAATCAACAGCTGCCTTCATCACAGGGAGATGTAAGACCAACAACAGATATCACACAACTTCTATGGCAATGTGATAAAGTCTCAAATCTCTTTCATAAAGGTTCACAAGATAGGCTTGATGCAGCCTAGCATCACCTCCATAGTAGTTTCCTCTCAGGACCATCTAGGATACTTTACCTTTTGTTTCTGAAATGCTCACAGCCAACACTTCCCAGGTTGTGATGGAATCCTTCAGGTAAAACGACACTAATTTGGATGAGATCCTAAGTACAAGAAGAAAGGTGACTTGTCATATCTGGAGGCAGGAGTTACAATATGTAAACTAAGGTAGGAAATAGATATATCCTAATGTCTATATGGCTATTACTGGGCATATACTTCTTCCTAACATCTAGACAACTTCTCCATTTCCCTATGTGACAACTTTTCATTTATCCCTGTCAGTGGCCACCAGTGAAATAGAGTGGCAGTGGGAAACAGACTAGGATATAGGAAAGCTTTCCCAGGAATCCCAAAGAAGTAAAGTGTCCACATATTGGATACTTTGCTGTTTTCAGAAGAAGAACACACAGTTCCAATCAAAGTTAAAAAAAAAAAAGAAAGAAAAGGATCTTCATCTGATCCATTTACTATTACTACTGTTCAGCAACTTTTGAGGGTTTTTTTAAATAGAGGATATCATTTCACAACGGATATCATCATCATCCTTTTTCAGTCTGTTCCTCAGACCTGAGCAGTCAGAAAGTGAGGCTGGTGGGGACGAGGAGCAGGGCTTTCTCAGTGGTGGCCCCCCGCCTGTGGAACTCACTCCCGGGGGAAATCAGGGCATCATCATCCCTCCTCTCCTTCAGGAGGAGGGTGAAAACGTGGTTACGGGACCAGGCCTTTGGACAATCTGGCAATTAAATAAGATAATCAGGCGAGTAAGACCAACAGGATTGATGAAGTGGAACTGAAAACAAGAACTATGAGTTAGTGAACGCTGACCATGTAAGAGGAGGAACTGGGTTTGTATTGGTTTTATTGGTTTTTATTGATTTTATTGGTATAATGCATGAACTGTTGTTGAACTGATGTAATTTTGTGTTGATTGTTCTGTGCTGTAGGCATCAAATTGTGCCTTTGCTCCTGTAAGCCGCCCTGAGTCCCCTTCGGGGTGAGAAGGGCGGGGTAAAAGAACCCCGAAATAAATAAATAAATAAATAAATAAACATATCCAGAGTAACTGTGCTGCCACATAACAAAATGCACCATTCAAGATCACAAAACAGCAATAAACAAAATAACAATAAACAAAAATAAAATAAAATAAACAAATAAAATAAAATAAAATAAAAATAAAAACCGAATTGGACCATCCAAAAATGCATACAATACATCCCAAAAACTTTCAAAGCTCCCCTGGCTTCTTCATTAGGAAAAAATGTTTTAAAAAATTGTATTTCCTGAATTTTACAACTCTGGATAAATCCATATGAGGTCTAAATCCCAGCGCCGGTGAGTAGTATTCTGCCCCAGTTTGACCCCACTGAAGCCACTACTCACCTATTTCAATCCAAACTAAAACACAGATTTCCTCCACACAATGTTACAACTATAAAATATGGTGTTTCTACCATGTCTACATATTAACTGTATCCAATTATTTTCAATAATTTTCAGTCCTGGAGACAATATCCTTTTCATACAACTGCAGTTTTTTCTCCTTCTTGTCTTAGATGTGGCTGTTATGTGCCTATCCATACCAATCATCTGACTATTTTTCCTGTCTGTTTTGTTTTCCTGACCTGCATAGGATGGTTCTCTTACTCCTTTTTCCATTTCTCCCCTCCTTCACCCATAATCTCTTCATCCCACGTGTGTGTATAAATGAGCATATAAATACTCTGCTCTGTGAAATCCTAGGAGTTAAGAGTTACCTTGATACCAAAGGATAAGGAGGTCTCCATCTCCATTGAGTCCTGCCTCCTACAAGATCCTGAAAACCAGCCTAAACACAGCTGACTCTCCCCCTTCATTTGTCTCCCCCATTGAGCCACTCGTTTCCTACAACTTTGCTGAGCTTTCTTTTTCCAAATTGAGAGGCATGAAAGATTGCAATTTCTGTCCTCCCCCTGTCCTGCTCCTTCCATCCACCCTTGAGATCTACACATGACTGGGCACCCCTAACTTTCACAAATATGAAGATTCGTGTATTCCATAAAATTCTAAATATTTAATTAAACATGTATTATTATTTTATTATTATTATTATTTGTCATGTCAGGAGCAACTTGAGAAACTGCAAGTCACTTCTGGTGTGAGAGAATGGGCCGTCTGCAAGGACGTTGCCCAGGGGACGCCCGGATGATTTGATGTTTTTATCATCCTTGTGGGAGGCTTCTCTCATGTCCCCGCATGAGGAGCTGGAGCTGATAGCGGGAGCTCATCCGCCTCTCCCCGGATTCGAACCTGCGACCTGTCAGTCTTCAGTCCTGCCGGCACAGGGGTTTAATCCACTGCGCCACCGGGGGCTTCATTTTATTATTAATAATATTTGATTATTCTTTCACACATCCCCATGAGCAGAGAATGACAGGCCTCTGGACAGGCATGTAGGGGGGTTGGGGGGCTTCAGCCCCTCCCCCCGAAATTCTCATGGTGGTCCGCGAGAAGGCCTTACTGGTACATTATTTAAACTGTTATGTTTATTCATATCATGATCTGATCACTATGCTCAATATATCCCATATGCATGGGGGTATTGGGGTCACGATACACTACAGACCTGCCTCTGGATATGGGCAATGGACAAAGTTCATAGTGGGAAGGGTCCCAAAGGGCTTTTATCTTTGCATTCATGTCCAGCAAGCATGCTGTTGATTTTTTTTAAGTTCAGTATATTCATGTATCCCAATATCTGCTCATTTGAATAATGCAGGTATTCTGAAATGGAAGCACCTTTCCACATTTGAAAATGTAGATATTTTTATTTTATTTATTTATTTTTGTCATGTCAGAAGTGACTTGAGAATCTGCAAGTCGCTTCTGGTGTGAGAGAATTGGCCGTCTGCAAGGACGTTGCCCAGGGGACGCCTGGATGATTTGATGTTTTGATCATCCTTGTGGGAGGCTTCTCTCATGTCCCCGCATGAGGAGCTGGAGCTGATAGAGGGAGCTCATCCACCTCTACATGCATAAATGCATAAATAGACTGAGACTCCATTGGATACAAGGGAAAAGCAAGGGAGCTGCCATGCTTGCCAGATGTGGATGACAAAATGAAGTCCTTTAGAAGCCTTCCCACCATGAATTTTACCCGCTTCCCATCCTCACATAGACTGAATTTTAACTCTGAAATGGACACCTTCATTTCAGAATCATTGCCAGCTTTTGGGTATTTCAATATCTGGTTAACCACATACATATACTCATTGTAAAAACAAAAATAAAAATAAAGAAAAATGACAACACAACACTTGCTGCTTGAAAAATCAACTGAAAAAAAACTTTAATCGACCTATCCACAAGTCAATATAAATACTGTATCTACCACACTGTTACTATTTAATTTTTTTATGTTTTGGATTGAGGACTCAAGCCACCTTGAGTCCTCACAGGGAGAATGGCGGGGTATAAATAAAATTAATATTAATTAATAATTAGAATAATTGGAGAATTCTGGAGCAACACTCTTACTGATCTACTGTCAAAGCTGACTTTGTGATCATGGAGGAATTCTATGGGACAAATCAATTTGCATTCAGTAGGTTGATATTTATTTATTTATTTATTTATTTATTTATAGCATTTGTTGACCGCCGCTCTCAGCCCTAGGGCGACTCGCGGCGGTGTACAACATATAAAAAACAGTTTACAATAAAGCACAACAAAAAAAAAAATCAACGTAACAATAATACACACTAATCTAAATTACACTAAACTAATCCGCATCGTCACAACATAGAATCATAACCAATCTCATAGTCCATATTTCGTTCCAATTGTCATTGCCAGTTAATATAGCACTCAGTTAAATGCCTTCTCACATAGCCAGGTCTTTAGGCTCTTACGGAAAGCCATAAGAGAGGGCGCCTGTCTGATGTCAACAGGGAGGGTGTTCCACAGCCGGGAGGCCACCACCGAGAAGGCCCTTTCTCTCGTCCCCGCCAGACGTGCCTGTGAGGCAGGCGGGATCGAGAGAAGGGCCTCCCCAGACGATCTCAAGGCCCTCGTGGGCTCATAGCAATGCAGATATACAGAGAATACAGAAGATGCTTACCCTTGATCATTAGGAGCCTCAGTCAGCACTTTCGTTTCCCACAACCAACTCTCTGGAAATTCAGTCCTGGAGACAATATCCTCTTCTTCTGTAATAAACTCCTCATTGTCACCTAGAAAAACACAAGACAGCTGTGATTGTGATTATCTTGGTATTTATTTATTTATTTATTTACCATACTTATATCCTACCCTTCTCAACCCCAAAGGGCACCCATGGCGGTCATACAAAAGCAACAATTCAATGCCATATATTAATATATCAGTAAATAAACAAAAACGTTAAAACCAAACCCATTAAAACATAGCATTAAAACATCAATTAAAATCACATGGTATTGGGTTTTCTGCTTAAGGGGGAACATACACACTGAAATGTTGATTTTTTTTAAACTTCCTTGTTCAGAGGGGAAATAATGTGATACAGCTCCCTCACCTTTCCCTTTTATCTCACAGAGTCCCCATCTAATTTGAAAAAAAATCAATTAAATATTAATGAAATTTAAGGATTTGCTCTGGAAGTTACTACAAGTGTGCAAAATTTCGTGGGGTAATTAGTAAGTTGAATAAATTCATATAAATTCATACTAAAGAATTTCAAAATGGAACTCCTCCTAATCTAAACAAAAAAAAAATCCTTAAATGAATTAATATTTTATTGATTTTTTTCAAAATAGACTCAGACTCTTATTGGATACAAGGGAAAGGCAAGGGAGCTGCATCACATGCTCTTTCTCAGCCAATTACAGTTTGGACTTCAAATCCTAGGATTCTCTGTGCCAACTGGGAATGGCAGCTGCTTCTATTTTTTCTTCTTCTTTCTGCAAGCTGTGTCTCTTCTCCTCCTCTTAGTAAGAGAGAGAATTAAAAAATATATATATCCTTAAAATCAGTGGATGAGTGAAACGTTCTGAAACTTGGGGTGGTGGTGGCTTAGAGTAGTAAATATTGGCTGGCCAGAATGCTAAGATAACACACCAAACAGCCCTTTTCCTTCATAAAGCAATGCAGATGAGAACTGCGTATCTGGAGGAGATTGGGGTAAACTGTAGGGGTGACGCAGATATCTGAAGAGGCTTGAGATTGTGTAATAGCTGGTCTATTTTAGCCTTTGTTTTTAATTTTTGTGGTTTGAAATTTTACCTTGGCATTTGAATGATGATATTTTAAATTATCTTTTAACTTAATAAAGTTAAGTTCACTATTATGGGAGTCCTAGGAGAGTGATTATTGTCTATTTGTGCACATTTCTGGGTTTTTTTTTTTAGTTTTTAATGTTGATACGGTCAGTGGACTAATCAATAAATTTGCTGTAGTAGTAAATATGTGCTACAATTGTAGTAAGTTTCATCATGATAACCCTAAACCCAAGGGAGGGAGGAGTGTCATTATTATCCCCATTGACATAAATGGGAGAATAACATAATGAAAAACTAACAACGTTTTCGGAATTCTGTAATAGTATACGTCGTCGTCCCCCCTTTGTGGGAAAGCTTGATTCCACATACTCTGCTATAATGAGCTCTCCTCCGCAAATAACCTGCTTCTCCTTATCTCACTCGAGTTTTAAATTAGTTTTCAATTAGTTTTTTCTTTTAATCATTACATGTAGCCTGTCCATTGTCACTGTGATTGTTTATTGTAATTTTATATTGCTATGCATTCACATAATGTTTTATGTAATTATGATGTTGTTGTCTATTGTCTGAGTTTTCGGTTTGCGTTTTTGGTTTTATTTGCTGTAATTTGTTGTTTGGGCTTAGCCTCATGTAAGCCGCCCTGAGTGCCCATCGGGGAGATGGTGGCGGGGTATAAATAAATATTATTATTATTATTATTATTATTATTATTATTATTATTATTATTATTATTATTTCCATCACGGCCCCCTTATGTTTTTTTTCAAAACACTTAATCAAAACAGCGGTCTCATTATTTTTGTTAAGACAAACAAAGCAGTTTTTTGAGTTGTACACACCCTTAGTAGCTAGCTACTGCTTATTGTCTCTATGTTGTCCATATTTTTTGCCATCACAAGTCTGATATGGAGAGACTGTAACAGGAGTACTAAAATTCATAATGCATGTCTTCACTGATGAGTGTGACTAATGGACAACTCTTGCCACCACAGAGAAGCCAATACAGTGGTCTCACCTTTTCTCAAAGGTAGACCTATCCTTAGACAATGTTCTCAGAGAATTAATGTACACGGAGTATACATCAATATTTTCTCATTTTACCCTCGTCAGAATGTCTACAAAACCATTCTTCTGCATGTTTAGGGGCAAGACCTTAATCAAGATCATGTACAATTTAAATTCTTCACCTCTCAACCTCTTGGCTCATTCCATGTATACATCATGGAAAACAAATCCCCAATTTCATTCATTTCAAAAACTTCACCCTTTAATTCATTCATATTTTACACACACATACACATGTGATATTATCTTGCAGATAGTTTTGCAATGAAATAAAGAAATTCTACTTGCTTCTTGCCAGTTGAAGTTCTTCCTCTCGTTGATTCTGATCTCGTATGTTTTTGATGAAACGGCAACATTCAAGGAATACATTCTTGCACTCATTTTGATCATCAATGTATTCTGCACGCTTTTCACAACTGTATCCCATTGGATTTTCAAACATCCCATCTTCACAGCACTTTCGGATCTTCTTGTCAGTATACTGAGCCGCTGGATATATATATATAACTTTCATGAAGGATCAAAAAAGTTCCCCCTAAACTACTCAGCAAACATAGCAGAAATAGCTATCCAACCAAAGTTCGAATATCCTTTTTTCTACCCGGCTTCCAGAAATATATGAACCTTATTTCACTTTTGATAGATGTTATACACTGCAAGTTTTTTCACTTTTTCATGCTACATCCTTGACTGATATCCATGTTATCCATTTGATAATCAGTTATTTGATCCATCAATGAATGTCCCATATTTATTTCGTTATTTAATAAATAATGAAATAAATATGGGACATTCATTGATGGATCAAATAACCATCAAATTATCAAATCGGTTATTAATCAGTTTTATATACCGCCACTCCCCGAAGGCTCGGAGCGGTTTACAATATACACATGTGATACAGTACATATAAGATCAAGAAAAACTTCGATCAGCAAAATTCAAATGCCACCCTAAATAAATAATTTTTACAAGCTCAATGAAAAACAAGTAAATCTCGGAGAGCTCGTGTTCCCGCTGGCAAAGCATTCCACAGATAAGGAGCCACCACCGTGAAAGCTCTACGGCTAGTAGACATCAGGTGAATGGTCCTAAAATTGGGAACTTCAAGGAGATTCTGATTGTCTGAACAAAATCTTGGGGGTTGGTAGGGGGTGAGGCGGTCCCTCAGGTACTCCATCCTTAAAGGTAAGAATCAGCACTTTGAAGGTAATCTGGTGCTCAATTGGCAACCAGTGCAGTTGCTGCAAGATTGGAGTGATATTACACTTCGCTGGAACCCCTGCGAGAAGCCGGGCAGCAGCATTTTGCACTAGTTAAGTTTCCAGATCACCGATAAAGGCAGGCCTATGTAGAGGGTGTTACAGTAGTCCAACCTTGAGATGACCGTAGCCTGGATCACAGTGGCCAGGTTGTCCCTGGACAAATAGGTAGCCACCTGCCTAGCCTGATGTAGATGGAAAAATGCGACTCTGCTCGCAGTGGAGGCCTAGGCAGAGGGTCTAAAAGGACTCCCAGACTCTTTACCAAGGATGATGGGCGTAATGTCACACCATCCAGGGTAAGCAACCAGATCAACCAGAGGATCTCCATCTTCACTGGATTCACCCTCAGTGAATCCATCCATGCAACCATCCAGTAATGGCCTCAAGGCCATAGGGTAGCATAGCTCCAGGCATTAATAGGAGTGTTCTTTGTTCCACCACCAGGATTCCCATCAAGCATGCTAATTCAATTCCTCTTCTATTTCTTTTCCCTCCATTGAGTTAATATCCTTAGCATCCCCTGGGTGAGGGACACCATAGGAATATGTGTTCTTTTTCAACCATTTGGTGAAAAGGAATTAAAACGTGTGCGTGTGGTGTGTTTTAATGTATACACTGATATATGCTTTATATGCATACCTAGAGATTCTGAAAGTGAGTAAACTTCTTCCATTACCATTTGAGAACTTCCCATTTTGTTTCCAAACTCTCAGGGACTGGGCAGCCTGTCAGCTTAGAAATGCTTTTCGACATTCAGTAATTTTAGAGGTACAAGAATCTCTCAAAAGTTAAAACTGTGACTAAAAGCCCCACTGAAAGAACACCTGTTGGGGGATCTCTAGGTTTTCTAGCATTAGTTGTGGTCAACTACCATAAAATCACACTGGAAGGCCTAAACATTCCTAAAGAATTATTTTTTCCAGGAATCTCTTGGTGCTCCAGTGTGATTCTATGCTCATCTTCTGGCAGAAACTGAACACAGAGTCATGCTAGAGGACCTAGACATTCCTAGAAAGAAAAACGTACTCAAATCCACAAAAGTCGAACCCACAAATGCTCACTGTATATTGGATTAACGGCTCTCAGAATTGCATGTCAACACATTTACTGGCCACACTGCCTGGAAGATTGTAGGAGTTGTAGTCTGACAATGGAAGTTTTCCTAACTTTGTTACTAGTTCATCCAAGTTTGAAATTATAGGAATGTGGCAGACTACTTGTCTGCCTAAGGCTGGATCTATACCTGCATATAATACATCTTGAATCTGCATTAGATGGTCAGTGTAGACATTTATAATGCAGTTCAGTGCCATTAAACTGAATTATATGGGTCTGCATTGACCATACAATAAAGATTTTATCTGCATTATATGCCAGTGTATGGACAGTCTAAGCCTGGTGTTGTCCTTTCTGGATGGCAGCTGCTTCCTAAGGCCTTAGACACCATTTTTTCCCCAGCTTTGCAATTTGGAAACCTTCTAAGAACTGGATCTAGGCCACTTGTCTGAACAGCACCGCAACCTGATATCCTTAGGAAACCACCAGGAGTTTCACTGAGCAATGTTCTCATATGCTAAGACAGAAAACTGGTCCCCCTAGTGCAGTATCACCTACAGTGTTTGGAAATAATTCTCCAAAGAAAGTCCCTCCTACAGCATTAAGGCTTGAATAGTCTTCCAATCTAGTGCATATTTTTCAATGTTATTCATTCAAGCCCAAACATTCTTGTTCCCTGGGGTCTTGACACATACCTTTGCCTGTTTTAGACTCCAGTAACTGTATAGAGCGACGGCGTCTCCGTTTTGCAACTTTGGGGCACTTCAGATCTGAAAGGTTGGGAAGGAAAAAAGAAGACATTGTTGCCATGACATGAAAAAAGAAAACAGTGTTGAATTCTATGATCTCACACACATTTCTATTGATCCTATGCAGGCTTATTGAAGAGGGGCTTATTCTCATACGTAAGAGAAAAGGACTGCAATCTTAAAGCTTTTTATTTCACACCTCCACCTATCTCATGAGCCCTTGATGGCCCCCATTTCAATCCAAAAACATTCATACTGGGTCTTCTTTGGGGCAACAACTTGGCAACCAGTGTGAACCCAAGTTTCATCTGGTCCAAACAACCAAAGCTGGTTTTTAAGATGCATCTACACTTTAGATTTAATGCAATTTGACACTGCCTTAACTGTTATGGTTCAGTGCTATGGAAACATGGGAATCATTGGCAGAGAAGGCTGCCAAATAGTGCTGATTTTTCTTTTTCAGCAGTCCAGAGAGTCCCAGGACAACTCCTAAGATCCCATGCTATTGGGTTACAGTAGTAAAATTGTGTCAAACAGCATTCATTCTACAGCCTAGATCTGTGATTCTTAACCTGTGGGTCCCCAGGTGTTTCGGCCAACAACTCCCAGAAATCCCAGTCAGTTTACCAGCTGTTAGGATTTCTGGAAGTTGAAGGCCAAAATATCTGGGGAATCACAGGTTGAAAACCACTGGTCTAGATGAACTTTTAGAAACTGATTTTTTCTTAGCTTTGATTGATTTGCAAGACATTGCCAACTCCAAGATCCTGCACTCCAGCAGCTTCTGACAGGCATCCTAGAGCTTGTTTTTCATAAGATGCTAATCCTTTCAAAAGACTATAAGATGCTAAACCTGAAAGTTATAGACCATGTAGCCATAGCCTATAGGTTACATGTGTTTTTTCTCAAACTAGAATTCTTTGCCATATCACACATTCAGAACTTGGAAACAAAGTGTTACTTTGTGAGTTACGTAATGTTTTTGTAGGATCTCAGGACAAAAAAAATGACCCCGAAGCTGTCACAGTTGTTATTGGTTATTTGAATAACCAATACATTAAATAATCATAAAATGATGGAGTTGGAAGGAGACTCATGAGCCACTGAGACGAATCCCCTGTTCAATACAGTGTCTCCAGCTAAATCATCCCTAGCAGAGCTGCACAGTCTGCTTCTGAAGATCATAGAATCATAGAGTTGGAAGAGACCTCATGGGGCATCCAGTCCAACCCCCTGCCAAGAAGCAGGAATATTGCATTCAAAGCACCCCTGTCAGATGGCCCTCCAGCCTCTGTTTAAAAGCTTCCAAAGAAGGAGCTTCCACCACACTCCAGGGCAGAGAGTTCCACTGCTGAATGGCTCTCACAGTCAGGAAGTTCTTCCTCATATTCAGATGGAATCTCCTTTCTTGTAGTTTGAAGCCATTGTTCCGTGTCCTAGTCTCCAGGAAGCAGAAAACAAGCTTGCTCCCTCCTCCCTATGACTTCCTCTCACATATTTATACATGGCTATCATATCTCCTCTCAGCCTTCTCTTCTTCAGGCTAAACATGCCCAGCTCTTTAAGCCACTCTTCATAGGGCTTGTTCTCCAGACCCTTGATCATTTTAGTCACCCTCCTCTGGACACATTACAGCTTGTCATCTCTCTTCAATTGTGGTGCCCAGAATTGAACACAATATTCCAGGTGTGGTCTAACCGAGGCGAAATAGAGGGGGAAGCATTACTTCCTAGATCTAAACACTCTGCTCCTATTGATGCAGGTCAAAATCCCATTGATTTTTTTTGCCGCCGCATCACATTGTTGGCTCATGTTTAACTTGTTGTCCACGAGGACTCCAAGATCTTTTTCACACGTACTGCTCTCGAGCCCTGCGTCCCCCATTCTGTATCTTTGCATTTTGTTTTTTCTGCCTAAGTGGAGTATCTAGCATTTGGCGTCGTCTGCAAACTTGATGATCATGCCTTCCAACCCTTCATCTAAGTCATTAATAAAGATGTTGAACTGAACTGGGCCCAGGATGGAACCCTGCGGCACTCCACTCCTCACTTCTTTCCAGGATGAAGAGGAAGCACTGGTGAGATGTCAGAGAATGAGATCCTACCACCTCTCTGGCCAATTGGTTCCTTTGCTGACTACTCTTCCTGTCAAGACGTTCCTTCTAATGTTCAACTGAAATCTATTCTTCTTCACTTTAAAACCATTAGACTTGGTCCCATCCTCTGCAGAAGAAGGAAACAGATAGGCCACCTTCTCTCTGTGAATGATCATGTTACCCCTCTGTTTTGTCTTCATCAAGCTGAACATGTCCAGCTCTTTCAGCTTTGTTCTCCATATCTCTTACCATTCTTGCTGCCCTTTGCTGAATCTGCTCTAACTTCTTATATAAGATACTTCTTGAAAATGAGGCACTCAGAACAGAACACAGTACTCCAGGTGATGCCTGATTTGAATTACTATTAGTGGCAATGCATTAATTTTCCTGGTCTAACATTTAACATTGTCAAATTAATTTTCAAAGCTAGCATTCCATGCTTTAGACATACTCCAATCCTACCTGATCTTTGTTTCGTGGAAAGCTTGTTGCTGGTCTCCAGGGCCAACCCAGCATCTTCAAACACACCTACATTGTTCCTACCGCTGCCAGCGGTACAGCCAATGTCACTTTTTTCTACTGTATCCCAGATCTGGAACAGAATAGAACCCAATGAAACAAGACTCAGCCACATTTTAAATTAGAAAAACCACCAATGTTTCGGGTGTTAAACCCTGTGGAATTCTGTGCCTTACCTTAGTCTGACTTATCTTATGCTTTTTGTTCAGAACATAGACAGCTTTGTCCACAGCCACAAGGCCAACCCGAGCATTCGCATCCCCTTCCACTTTGATTTTCATTGCATCTCCTGGCTGATGAATTCGATTGTCGGCTGCAGTTGCTCCTTTCACAACCAGCTGTTGGAAAAGGCAACAAAAACATGGAAATTACTTTGTTGGCAGAAGTGCTCTTTTCGTGTGATCAGCTTGTCAATAAGTTGCAAAATGACTTAGAAATCCCCTGCCCACTTTCTTCTCTCAAAGTTATACAAGGCAACAAAATCGCACAGTTCAATCTACAATCCACAATGGGGCGCAGGAGAACTTTCCCAGGGAACATCAGAGTTTGCACATTTTTGCTTGAGTTTCTCTAAGAGAAGGCCTTGTGTTCACATTGAGAAATAATATCAGCTGAAAGGGTGACCTACCGTTCCCATGCAGGTATCCTTCACATCCACCCAGACAGAGTCAGCCACAATCTCGCTGTTCCCCACTTGGTAGTAAGCCACAACTCGGAAGGAAGGGATGAGTTTGGGGGTGATGGGCAGAGACATGGTCACTAGATTCTGCCCAGGAGCTCTGGGTTGCCTCCCAACCTTGAGTATGCTCCCTTTACTCAAGATCTGATGATAAAAAAGATGTATTGGTTAAGAGGGATGAGGATTGGTGTAAACAATGGGGGCCTCACAAAGATAAGATAAAGGCATTGGCATAATAATAATAATAATAATAATAATAATAATAATAATTTATTTATACCCTGCCACCATCTCCCCAAAGGGACTCGGGGTGGCTTACATGGGGCCAAGCCCGTTAGATACAAATACAACAACACATCAACAAACAAGCAAGCAAATAAAACAATATAAATAATACAGTTGAACATATAAGCAATAACACATAAAAGATTTTAAAACATTATGGCAGGGCCAGATGTGGATTAAAATTTTAAAACCCTGGGTGTATACAGAGTAGGGTATGTCTAGGCATTGGGGTTTTAAAGAGTCATATGGGGGGATCAATCCAACAGATAGATAAAGTGCTTCAGAGGACGTATAGAAGGAAATTGGTCAGATTGGGCATTATTTCCTTCATTCAGGGAAGGCACAAGGGAACAGCCACATTTTCAAGCTCCTCCTAAAGACTGCCAAAGTGGGGGCTTGTTTGATACCTTTAGGTAGAGAGTTCCAGAGTCGGGGGCCACCATAGAGAAGGCCCTCTCCCTCGTCCCCACCAATCGCGCCTTCGAAGGGGGCGGGAGCAAGAGCAGTGCATCTCCAGATGAACAAAGAGATTGCATGGGTTCGTAAACAGAAATGCAGTCACACAGGTAGGTGGGTCCCAAACCATTCAGGGGTTTGTAGGTAAGAACCTGCACCTTGAATTGGGACTGGAAAATGAACGGCAGCCAATGGAGCTCCTTAAACTCCAGATAGTAGCCTGGCTGCCGCCTGTTGAACCAATTGAAATTGTCTTCAAGAGCAGCCCCATGTAGAGTGCATTGCAGTAATCCAATCTGGAGGTGATTAAGGCGTGGACCACCATGGCCAGATCCGACTTCGCAGGGTACGGTTGCAGCTGGCACACAAGTTTTAACTGTGCGAGGGCCCTCCCAGCCACTGCTGACGCCTGAATTTCAAGCGTTAGTGATGAGTCTAGGAGGACACCCAAGCTGCGGACCTGTGACTTCAGGGGGAGTGCAACCCCATCAAGCACAGGTTGCCACCCTATACCCCGATCCGGCTTACGATCACACATACACCATAAATGAAATAAAACTGTTATTCACTTTCTCATGAAGCATTGTGAACTTTGAAAGTTTGCTTATTTCTGTGGACTCCCCAAAAGGGCTAGATGGAGAAGCTGATCTCAACTGAGTTTCTAAGAAGACTAAGGGCTGCATTATACTAGAGAATGAATCCACTTTAAATCTAGTTTCTGCCTCCTGCAGAATTCTGGGGTTTGTAATTTAGGGAGGAGCCTTTAACAGTCTCCCTAAACTACAAACTCCAGAATTCTGCAAGAGGCAGAAACCGGATTTAAAGTGGACTCATTCTCTAGTGTGATTAAGTAGTTTGAAAGATTCTTGGATTCAGCTTTCCCGTGAGGATTAGACACACGACACACGACAAGACGTTTTCCCTTCCTCCCTTGAAAACAAATGAAAGTCAACAAACAAATAAGAATGTGAACCATTTTCTTCTATTCTATCCAGGTCTATCTTACTATGTAGGTGAAATATTGGACTTGGTTCAGGACATTTTGATTGTTGCTTCGAATGTTGAAGTTGATGGGTAAGTTGTCCCCAGCCTTGAGCTCTACAGATGAAACTGCTAAATGGAGAAAGTTTCCAGAGCCACCCTGGGTTTGGTAGGCTGCAGCCACCATAGTCTTGGTTGCCTGGCGTTCATTTGGTAGTCTTGCTTCATTGGTTTTTACCTAGAGTAGGTGAGAAAGAAATTCATTGGAAGGAGGGGGAATAATGTCTTAGGAAGGATAAATTACCAAATATCTTGTACCCATCAAGACCTGTGAAGTACCTCTGTGGGGTAACCTGCATCATCAAGATGAAAGAACTGAACTATGTTATGAGATCAGCAGGTAAATACAACTTCAGTATATATAAACGGCAGGATGTTATAGTTGTCAGGAAACTCAAGAAAAAAGTCAACAGCATGAGGATAAAGAGACCTTTCCTGGCCATAAGCGCTTTGTAAATGTCAACAAATGAATTTGGAATATTTTATATCAGGGCTATTTATTTATCATGTCAGGGGCAACCAGACCATTGTATTACATTTCTAACAGAACAAAACAAACAAACAGATAAAAAAACCCACAAAGTTTGCAAGCTTGGTAGTTGATTAAATGTCCTTTGACCAGTATCTGGCCACTTGGAGTGCCTCTGGTGTTGTCGCAAGAAGGTCCTCCATTGTGCATGTGGCAGGGCTCAGGTTGCATTGCAGCAGGTGGTCTGTAGTTTGCTCCTCTCCACACTCGCATGTCATGGATTCCACTTTGTAGCCCCATTTCTTAAGGTTGGCTCTGCATCTCGTGGTGCCAGAGCGCAGTCTGTTCAGCGCCTTCCAAGTCGCCCAGTCTTCTGTGTGCCCAGGGGGGAGTCTCTCATTTGGTATCAGCCATTGGTTGAGGTTCCAGGTTTGAGCCTGCCACTTTTGGACTCTCGCTTGCTGAGGTGTTCCAGCGAGTGTCTCTGTAGATCTTAGAAAACTATTTCTTGGTTTAAGTCATTGACGTGCTGGCTGATACCCAAACAGGGGATGAGCTGGAGATGTCTCTGCCTTGGTCCTTTCACTATTGGCTGCTACTTCCCGACGGATGTCAGGTGGTGCAATACCGGCTAAACAGTGTAATTTCTCCAGTGGTGTAGGGCGCAGACACCCTGTGATAATGCGGTATGTCTCATTAAGAGCCACATCCACTGTTTTAGCGTGGTGAGATGTATTCCACACTGGGCATGTGTACTCAGCAGCAGAGTAGCATAGCGCAAGGGCAGATGTCTTCACTGTGTCTGGTTGTGATCCCCAGGTTGTGCCAGTCAGCTTTCGTATGATATTGTTTCTAGCACCCACTTTTTGTGATATTCAGGCAATGCTTCTTGTAGGTCAGAGCATGGTCCAGAGTGACTCAGGGCTGGGAATATTTTTTTCATCAAGGGCCATCATTCCTAAGTGGGAACCTATTGTGTGGAGGATGACAGTGACACTGACGGCTGAGCTCAGATGTGGACACAACTGTCCTTTTCTCTTTTCTTCATCCCTTCTTCCTTCCTCCCCACCTTTTCTGCCACCTCCTTCTCACAAAGGCATCATCCTTCTTCCTTCTTAATGAATGGCCTTTTCACAGGCAGTTTTGGCATGAGGGCTTCATGAAATTAAGGCACATGTAAATACAGCCCTTGTTGTTGTTGTTCATTTGTTCAGTCGTCTCTGACTCTTCGTGACCTCATGGACCAGCCCACGCCAGAGCTCCCTGTCGGCCGTCACCACCCCCAGCTCCTTCAAGGTCAGTCCAATACAGCCCTAGAACTCTGCTATTGAGACGTAGGCTTTACTCTAAACATGTGCCAACAGTTTTAGTTCTGTGCTGAGGAAGTAAGACAGCCCCCCCAGATATCCACAGTGCTTTGGGGGAAAATGTAACATAATCTCAGAGTGACTTACAGTTATTCTCAGCTCTTGTCTGTCTACTGGTGTGTTCAGGATCAGCTTGGCTGTCCCATCGTTCTGGGTGGTTGCCTCAGCCCGAATGGGCTCTGATATCACAGGGACACGGGCAGCTGGGGAACCATCAGGGCTGGTGACAAACACCTGCGAAGTAATTCCAAAAATGTGACTGAATGTGGAGCACAGCATCCCTCCCAATGTTAAATCACTGTCCCCAGGATATTGCCATCATCAGAAACTTTGGGAGAATTTTACTTGTGTGTCTCAATCTGAAGACTCCACCTGAATGTCTGAAACTGGGTCATGAGATGAAAGGGGGATTCAAATAAAATTACCATCAGTTCATAAGGCATCCCTGGCTTGAAAAACATTGGGGTTTTAGTGAAGAGGATCTGATAGGGAGATGTCACTATTTTAATGCCGCTTCTCTCAGCCACCACCATATCGCTCCCTGAAAAAAAAGGGGGGGAGGGCACAGAAGAAAATCCAGATTGTTTGAAGGAGAGACATATTAAGAGAGTGCATGCAGTATATACAACCACAATGCATGCATTTTCAAACCAACTGTCCTCAAGGAACATTTCTGCACATCCTTGTCCATAAACATACCCTGTGGATTAAACCAACCATAGAAATTTACATATTGTGAAGAAAGGGTCACAGAGAATTAACATATTAGCTCACAATAATAAGAAATATACACAAAAAAGTTGATGTCTTACATTGCTGTTAATAATGCAGAATTGAAACTTAAAATAAACCAGGGTGACTCTACGGTGTAGAATTAATGCAGCTTGACATAACTATAAATACAGATTTCTTGTTAGTGAGGCACCAGCATTCTTTGATAGAGAAGGCTAAAGACTTTGTAAAAATACCATTCCTATTTTTTTTGTCGTGTCAGGAGCGACTTGAGAAACTGCAAGTTTTGGTCGCCTGCAAGGACGTTGCCCAGGATGCCCGGATGATTTGATGTTTTATCATCCTTGTGGGAGGCTTCTCTCATGTCCCCGCATGAGGAGCTGGAGCTGATAGAGGGAGCTCATCCACCTCTCCCTGGATTTGAACCTGTGACCTGTCGGTCTTCAGTCCTGCCGGCACAGAGAGCATTTGCAGTATAGTTGATTTTGCCCAGGGGCGCTCTTGAGCGCTCTTGGGGGAAAATAGACCTTGACATATGCGAGTTGTAGTTACTGGGATGTATAGTTCACCTACAATCAAAGAGCATTCTGAACTCCACCAATGATGGAATTGAACCAAATATGGCACACAGAACTCCCACGACGACAGAAAATATATATCAGTGATTGGTTGGGGGGGGGGCAAAATACTGTTTGCTTACCATTGAAAATTACCTAGGGCCGCCTCTGCCTGTGACCTGTCGATCTTCAGTCATGCCAGCACAGGGGTTTAACCCACTGCACCACCGGGGGCTCCATTCCCATGATTCCCTAGCATTGAGCCATAGCAGTTAAAGTGGTGTCAAACTGCATTAATTCTACACCGTAGATGCATACTTAGACAGATGCTGCTATGGTAAGCAAAAGAACCAAGGCACCACAGACAAAAGACAGGACCTTCTCAGTGCTGGCCCCCCACCTGTGGAATACACTCCCCAGCAAAATTAGGTCAGCACTATCCCTCCTGTTCCTTAGGAAGAAGCTCAAAACATGGTTTTGGGACCAGGTTTTTGGGCAGCAGGTTCGATAGCAGTTACAATGTTTTTGAGATTTGACTATGGACAGGCATTGATTGTTGAATCAAACTCGGATTTGGCTATATGATTAATAGTAATGTTTTAAAATGTTTTTAAACCTAATGTTTTATTTACTGTGTAATATTGCATTGTAATGTGTTTTGTATGTTGTTGGCTTTGAATTACTGCCATTGTAAGCTGCCCTGAGTCCCCCCTCGGGGTTTGAGGAGGATGTGCCATGAAAATATTATTGCAGATTTGATAAATGTGAATTTAATAATGGTGTGTGGGAATGAATGGAAGAATGGAAGTTGTATGAGTGGAGTCAATAATTTTGGAGACACTAGTAAAATATTAAGGCCTACAATGACTACCTACCTGCTTGCTGGACTGTAATTAAAAGTTGCATAGAATCTGTATGTGCAAATATTTTTCTGTATTTTGATATATTTATATATTTATATATTTATTTATTATTTAAAACATTTGTATTCTGCCCTTCTCACCCTGAAGGGGACTCAGGGCGGAGCACGGCAAACACTGAATTCTGGGACACAAATTCTTATATACATACGTAAACATTAAAAACATTTATCAAAATATTAAAATACACCATTTAAAACTGTCCTAGTCATCCACGTCAAATTTAATTGGCCTGGTAATCTTTCCTATTGCTTTATTGCCTTGTCCTGAAAGCTTGGTCCCACAGCCAAGTTTTTACCATCCTTCTAAAGGACAGGAGGGAGGGGGCCGACCTGATCTCACCAGGAAGGGAATTTATTTATTTATTTATTTATTATTTACAGCATTTATATTCCGCCCTTCTCACCCCGCAGGGGACTCAGGGTGGATTACAATGTACACATATATGGCAAACATTCAATGCCAATTAGACATACAACGTATATAGACATACACAGAGGCTATTTAACTTTTTCTGGCCGCCAGGGGAGCTGTCGCTTTCATTGTCCATCTGCAACACTGATGAAGTACTTCCGCATTCCCCGCATGCTTTGCTGGAGTGATTTTTGCTGAAGTCTTTTTATGACCTCATAAATTAGTTAATTAGCCTCCCCACACATAGGTGGTACCTCATTTTCCTACTTGACAGATGCAACTGTCTTTCGGATTGCAACGGTCGACAACAAGCTACACAAAATTGGCCAGAAGCTTACTCCGACCCGGGCTGGCTTTGAACTCATGACCTTCTGGTCAGAGTGATCTTAATGCAGCTGACACTCAGCCAGCTGCGCCACAATCCTGGTGTTCCATAGCTGGGGAGCAATCACCGAGAAGGCCCTGTCTCTCATCCCCACCAATCGTACCCGTGACAATGGCAGGACGGAAAGCAGGGCCTCCCCGGAGTATCTCAATCTCTGCGATGGCTCATAGGGAGAGATACGTTCAGACAGGTAATTTGGGCCAGGGCTCTTTAGGGCTTTATATACTTTTATATACTCTCTCACACTGGAAATTGCATTAAAAGAACCTATGCTTTAAAGTCATTGAAAAGTCATTCATGACAACGGGGTACAAATGTTTGAAATAAATAAATAAATAAATAAATAAATCCTTGTATATCATATGGGATTCTGAATTAGTCAAAGGTCAAAATAGACATCCTGGAATTAATTCAATATGTCAAACTCCAGGATTTCCCTTTATGAGCCATCTGCTAATCCACGAAGAAGTCACACAACTCACCTGATTCTGTCATCACTGTTACAGAGATGTAGAGAGAGTGCCCAACAAGCTCATGCGGGTTGCGAAATCGGGTCAGAAGCATTTCTTTTGTCAGCACTGCTTCTCCCTCCCCTTCTTGAATCTAAAAAGAAGATAAAGAACATTGAAAAAGAAATCAAAGCTGTATATCCTTTCTAAAGCCCTCTCACTCTCCCCCGCCGAGATGTATGGGTCAGCTTACTGGAATTCTCCTGAGTGAGTCTGCAATACTCTTTTTGTCATCGTCAATTTTCACTCCAAAGAGGACAAAGGCGACACCTTCGACTTTCTTCCCATAAAGGTACCTGGAAAGACAATGAAATAAGACATGCTGGCTCACATCTATTATATTGACTTTTTTTTTTTGTCGTGTCAGGAGCGACGTGTGAAACTGCAAGTCGCTTCTGGTGTGAGAGAATTGGCTGTCTGTAAGGACGTTGCCCAGGGGACGTCTGGATGATTTGATGTTTTTATCATCCTTGTGGGAGGCTTCTCTCATGTCCCCATATGAGGAGCTGGAGCTGATAGAGGGAGCTCATCCGCCTCTCCCCGGATTCGAACCTACGACCTGTCGGTCCTGCCAGCACAGGGGTTTAACCCACTGCGCCACCGGGGGCTCCTGTTGACATGTTGACATGAAATGTAGACGAGTACTTTGTGTTTTACATCATTTGAGGCTGCATAGGCGAGTGTAGCTCAGGCATGGGCAAACTTTGGCCCTCCAGGTGTAGCTAAACATCACTCACAGTCATGTTGTTTCCTATTGGAGGCAATTCAAAAACTCCATTAACATTCAGGTGAACACCTGGAGCTTATTCACTATCTCCTCCACCAACACAGAAGTCACTAGCTACCACTTTGTAAATAATATATCTCAAATCTTCATCTGGAAGAACAAAATGGATATGTTCACACAGACAGGGACAGTTCTTTTCAATAGGGGCCCTGCTCTCAGTCCCACTACCTTCGCAAGTGCGTCTGGTGGGGACGAGGGACAGGGCCTTCTCGTTGGTGGCCCCTCGGCTCTGGAACTCTCTCCCACTGGAGATTAGAACTGCCCCTTCTCTCCTGACTTTTAGAAAGCTGGTGAAATCTTGGATTTGGAATATAGCATTTGATGAGTGAGTCAATAACTCTTGACCACACGGACGGATGGTGATGAATTGTGATTTCATTCTGACGACTTGGCCTTATGTAATTATATGTTTGTATTTTAATGTATTTTATTGATTAATGTATTATGAGGTGTGATGTTCTTATACTATTGTTTATGAATCTCTTGTTGTGAACCGGCCTGAGTCCCTCTTCGGAGGCCGAGAAGACCGGGTTATAAAAGCTCTAAATAAATAAATAAATAAATAAATAAACAGAGGCTGGATGGCCATCTGTCAGGGGTGATTTGAATGCAATATTCCTGCTTCTTGGCAGGGGGTTGGACGGGATGGCCCATGAGGTCTCTTCCAACTCTTTGGTTCTATGATTCTATAATAGCTAATGTATTGTCGAAGGCTTTCATGGCCGGAATCACTGGGTTATTGTTGGTTTTTCGGGCTGTATGGCCATGCTCTAGAAGCATTCTCTCCTGACATTTCACCTGCATCTGTGGCAAGCATCCTCTCACAACCTCTGAGCATGCTTGCTACAGATGCAGGAGAAATTTCAGGAGAGAATGCTTCTAGAATGTGGCCATAGAGCCCGAAAAGCCTACAACAACCCAATAATAGCTAATATTTCTAAAGATGTTCCTTCAGTTTACTGGGATTACATTCTGCATTATATCCTGTATCAATTAGACCCCTATATTTCTTGAAATGTTGCAGAAGGACAAAAAAAAGCTTTGCCCTTAGTCACAGGACTTCACTGCATGATAATGATGATAAGAATAATAATGAATTTATTACCCGCCTCTCCTTGTAGCTCGAGGTGGGATACAACATCATTAAAATAAGAAATAAAACACTATTAAAAGCCATACAAAAAGATACACAAAGTTAAAATACCAGTTAAAATCCACTGAGAAAATGCAGATTAAAATACAACACTAGTGTATTGTCGAAGGCTTTCATGGCCGGAATCACTGGGTTGTTGTAGGTTTTTTTCGGGCTATATGGCCATGTTCTAGAGGCATTCTCTCCTGACGTTTCGCCTGCATCTATGGCAAGCATCCTCAGAGGTAGTGAGGTCTGTTGGAACTAGGAAAATGGGTTTATATATCTGTGGAATGACCAGGGTGGGAAAAAGGACTCTTGTCTGCTGGAGCTAGGTGTGAATGTTTCAACTGGCCATCTTAGCATTTGATGGCCTGGCAGTTTTTTTGGTGTGGCTTGTTGGTGCCTGGGGCAATCTTTTGTTGAGAGGTGATTAGATGTCCCTGATTGTTCCCTCTCTGTTGTTTTGCTGTTGTAATTTTAGAGTTTTTTAATACTCTAAAATTTTAAAATTTGGTGGTGCCCCAGGGACCAACAAGCCACACCAAACAACTGCCAGGCCATCAAATGCTAATCAAGGTGGTCAGCTGAAACATTCACACCAGGCTCCAACAGACAAGAGTTCTTTGTCCCACCCTGGTCATTCCACAGATATATAAACCCAATTTTCCTAGTTCCAACAGACCTCACTACCTCTGAGGATGCTTGCCGATAGATGCAGGCGACCTGCGTGACCAAATCTCTGTATACGAACCCACACGATCCCTTCGATCATCCGGAGAGGCCCTGCTCTCGATCCCACCAGCATCGCAGGCGCGATTGGTGGGGACAAGAGAGAGGGCCTTTTCGGTGGTGGCCCCTCGACTCTGGAACTCACTCCCTAAAGACATCAGACAGGCCCCAACTCTGGCAGTCTTCAGGAGGAGCTTGAAGACGTGGCTGTTCCAGTGTGCCTTCCCGGAATAATGATCCCATAGCATTTTGTCCTCCAAAGCACTTTACATTTCTTTAGGTCTGCTCGTATGCCCTTCCACAAACACCAGTATCACCTTTCGTCCATGTCCCAGCATTATTTCCAATTTTAACCCTACATTTGGCCTTCTCACTGTTTTTAATTGTGTGTTGTCTTATTGATAATGCTGTGTATTAATTGTTTATGTTTTTAATTGCTTGTATTGTTGTCGTTATTGCTTGTATTGTTGTGTTTGGGCTCAGCCTCATGTAAGCCACACCGAGTCCCTTGGGGAGATGGTAGTGGGGTACAAATAAAGTGTTGTTGTTATTATTATTATTATTATTATTATTATTATTATTGCCATAGATGCAGGTGAAACGTCAGGAGAGAATGCCTCTAGAACATGGCCATATAGCCTGAAAGAACCTACAACAACACAACATTAGTGATTTTTTTATCAGGTCAAAATAATTCAGAATAAGATGAACTGCAATATTTTAATGTCAGGAAAATATATTGAACTTTACATTTTTTCTATATTGTTACATTTTGTCATGTGTTCACAGTATGCAATCTATAATTGACTTTTATTGTTCTATGCCTTTTAAAAATGTTTTATTGTGGCTTTACACAGGTAAAGGTAAAGGTTTTCCCCTGACATGAAGTCCAGTTGTGTCCAAATCTGAAGTTTGGTGTTCATCTCCATTTCTAAGCTGAAGAGCCAACATTGTCCATAGACACCTCCAAGGTCATGTGGCCGGCATGACTGCATGGAGCGCCGTTACCTTCCCTCCGGAGCGGTACCTATTGATCTACTCACATTTGCATGTTTTCAAACTGCTAGTTTGGCAGAATCTGGGGCTGACAGCGGGAGCTCATGCCCCTCCCCAGATTCGAACCTGCGGCCTTTCGGTGAACAAGTTCAGCAGCTCAGAGCTTTAACCCACTGCGCCACCGGGTCCTTTACATACAAACTCTAAATATTTTTGAACACACATACATGCACACACACTATACCTATATTACATTACACACATTATGTTAAACTAAACACATTTGATTCCAGGATTTTCCTCATCGGCATCTATTAATCATTAAAATAAAATTAAAATATATAGCTAGGGGAGTTGTACATTGAGCATGTGGTTTCTTCCCTGACCTATCTATCTATCTACTGATAAATTTATGTGAGGGAGATAGGGCTATTACATGAGGATAACTTATCCTGGAAATGTACTAAATAGGATGCAAATTATTTTCTTCGGAACAATATGAAGCAATAAGTGTTTTCTGAATATACCCATATGTCAAAGTAGCTTTCTCATACTTACCTATGAGAAAGTATACTTTCCTCATATTTGTGGTTTTTAACTTTGAATTTGTTTTAATAATTTTTACTGGAAAATTTAAAATACTATTCATATTAATTCCTGTTTTAATGTTTGTATATTTGTATATTTTACATGCCTATGCTGATGCTTTTATGTTAAGATGCTTTTAGCCCTCTTCAGGGGAGATAAAGGAGCCCCCGGTGGCACAGTGGGTTAAAGCCCTGTGCCGGCAGGACTGAAGACCGACAGGTCGCAGRTTCGAATCCGGAGAGAGGCAGATGAGCTCCATCTGTCAACTCCAGCTCCTCATGCAGGGACATGAGAGAARCCTCCCACAAGGATGATAAAAACATCAAAATCATCTGGGCGTCCCCTGGGCAACGTCCTTGCAGACGGCCAATTCTCTCACACCAGAAACGACTTGCAGTTTCTCAAGTCACTCCTGACACAACAAAGCGTGGTATAAATAAATATAATAATAATAATTCCTATAGCTSCACATACACCTACCTTGCAGTGATAGCCACATTGAAATTTCTGTCGGTATCAACATAATAAAACTTTTCTGATGGTTCAATGTCAACTTCAAAACTTGGCAATACTGAAAAAAAAATCCAGACAGAATAAGAGAAGGCAAACAGTCATAAAAGCAAATGAGATGTTGCTATATGGATGTTTTAAATGGATGCCTATAATTGATGTTTTTACCTAATTGTTTTAATTTTAAATGCTATTATAATTGTTTGATTGGCATCTAATGGTTGCCAGCTGTCTTTAATTTTAAATGCTATTATAATTGTTTGATTGGCATCTAATGGTTGCCAGCTGTCAAACACTGGTAGTATTTTCTGTTGGTCATGGGAGGCCTGTGTGCCAAGTTTGGTTCAATTTCATCATTGGTGGAGTTCAGAATGCTCTATGATTATAGGTGAACTATAAATCCCAGCAACTACAACTCCAAAATGACAAAACTATAATTTTTTGAGTGATGATCACTTCTTGTGTAGTGAGACGTTTTGTTTCCAAATTTGGTGTGATTTCGTTCATTGGTTCTTTTGTTTTTAAGGAACTCATTATGCACAGAGCATTTATATATATCTATATAAATAAAAATGTAATGTTCGTTTGTGGGATTAACAGAACTCTAAAACCACTGGACAAATTGACACCAAATTTGGACGCAAGACACCTAACAATCCAATGTATGTCCTTCACTCAAAAAAATTGCTTTTGTCATTTAGGAGTTGTAGTTATTGGGATGTTTAGTTCACCTACAATCAAAGAGCATTCTGAACCCCACCAACGATGGAATTGAACCAAACCTGGCACACACTTCTCCCAAGACCAACAGAAAATACTGGAAGGGTTTGGTGGGCAGTGTCCTTTGGTTTTGGAGTTGTAGTTCACCTACATCCACTGTGGACTCAAACAATGATGGAACTGGACCAAACTCTACAAGAATACTCAATATGCCCAAATGTGAACACTGGTGGAGATTGGGGGAAATAGAATCTTGACATTTTGGAGTTGTAGTTGCTGGGATTTATAGTTCACCTACAATCACAGAGCATTCTGAACCCCACCAACGATAGAATTCGGCCAAACCTCCCACACAGAACCTCCATGGCCACCAGTGGGCCAGAGCAACGCGTGGCAGGGGACGGCTAGTGTGTGTGTGTGTATATAATCATATTTCTGTAAAATATATATCAAAATACACAAAAGAGAATAAATAAAGGACATGAGTTTAAAATTCATGTCTGGATAGGCTTGCTGGAAGAGATAGATCTTTAGATGGTTGTAAAATTTCAATAGTAGGGGATGGGAAGCAGAAAGGAAGCAGATGAGCAATGGGATGTATATGGTGTCCTGCTTCAGCAGCCATTTGCCTCCTTGATAACACGGGACTATTACATAATCCACCTTGAGAGGGTTGTGACTTTTAAACATTTTAAATAAATCAAGCTAAACGAGCAATAGTAGTGAAAAAGAACAAAATAAATCTTGAATAAATCAGAGGACTGAAGAAAAGATGAAGCCATGGCTCAAACGGGAAGACTAAATAAGAAAGGTTGTTCTTCCTACCATATTCTTTGACTTCAAATGGTGTTCTGAAGGACTCCTGCGGGGAATCTTGATATTTAGTCACAGCATTCCAGGTTCCCAAACTAGAGAAGGGAAATGGAAGGATATGTCACTGCTCCTGCTTTATCAATTTATGACAAGTGTGAAATGGCAAACATGTGTCACCTTCTTAGCATGTATTGGGTCACACTGAACATGCTGATTTTTATTATCTTTGGACCTTGTCTGCAAAAGGAAAACTCTGAAACAGAATGGTTGACTTCCAAGTTTCATGGCTTGGAAGGCTGAAATCTAGCTTCTCCCTTACTCATTTGCCTGTCGTACTCATGGGTAGTTTTGCTGAAATTCCATCAATCTCACAAAATGAAATAACACTTGCTACGTAGCACCCTAAGTTCTTTAGAAAACAGTATGGAATGCAGTGCAATGGAGAAATGTACAATAAAGTATGTGGGAGATTGCTCAGAGAATTCATAGTTCAATTTGAAATCAAAAACTGTATCCCAGGAATAAAGTTATATACTAATAAGCTTTTTTTTACTAACTGATTTCCCAACTCATTTAGCAAAGAGCTATTACCTGACAGTCTCAGGTAGATTGAAGGACTGGGTGCCAGGTGCTGCGGGATTGAAGGTATTCTGGCTAACAATAACGCCTTCTGGTGTCTAGGAGGAGAAAACATGTTTATGAGAATGTTCAAAGAATATAAAATCACTGAAAATATATATCTATATAAATAAAAAGGTAATGTTCGTTTGTGGGATTAACAGAACTCAAAAACCACTGGACGAATTGACAACAAATTTGGACACAAAACACCTAACAACCCAATGTATGTCCTTCACTCAAAAAAAAAAAAGATTTTGTCATTTGGGAGTTGTCGTTGCTGGGATTTATAGTTCACCTGCATCAAAGAGCATTCTGAACCCCACCAATGATGGAATTGAACCAAACTTGGCACATAGCTCTCCCATGACCAACAGAAAATACTGGAAGGGTTTGGTGGGCAATGTCCTTTGGTTTTGGAGTTGGTTTACAAAGTCCCCCTCGGCTTATACTCAAGTCAAGGTTATTTATTATTTTCCTCTATTATTATTTTTATTACATTTATAATTTTATTATTATTATTATTATTATTATTACATTTATTATTTTATAATATTTATTATTTTTATTACATTTATTATTTTATGATATTATTACTGGTATTATTAAATTTCCATTATTTTACTCTATTAATATTATTATTATTACATTTCTTAAATTACAGTTTTATGTAAATATTTAATCTACTCATGCCTCAATTAATGTAATTTTATTGGTATCTATTTTTATTTTGAAATTTACCATTAGTGTCTGCATTTCCCATCCTCGGCTTATAGTCAAGTCAATATGTTTTCCCAGTTTTTTTGTGATAAAATTAGCTACCTCAGCTTATATTCGGGTCGGCTTATACTCGAGTATATATGGTAATTGAGCGATTCTTCTATCCTTGTGATATTTTAAGTGAATTTCTAAGGAAAAACCATTGGCCACACCACATACTTGTACGTAAGACTCTCACCTCAAATTCAACAATCACATTTTTGTCCAAACGTTCCAGGCCATGACCCATAGAGAAAACACGATAGCGCACTGTGAAGAAGAAGAAAAGAGGTAAAGGGGGTATTATTTATTTGTGACTAAGCCACATGTTGGCATCCTAGAGAATAAATTAATATTTCCTGTTCCCTTGGAAATTTTACTTTGTTGGACTACCACGCCAAGAAGTCCCACACCATCATGCGCCAATGGAAAAGCTTGACATGTGCAGCTCTGTGGCTATCTGTTGCAGACACTGGGCCCCACACAACCAAAAAATTAGAATAGGTATCATGAATTGATTGTTTTGAGCTTAAATAAATCACAAACTCAGTCCAAACATTGAACTATTTATTGATTTCCACTTACTTTGGATGTTATTTTTTAATTTATTTATTTGCTTATTTAGGGGCTTCATACAGATTGTGAAGATCTCGTATTAAAACAAGGGCAAATCCCAGTGAAGTTATCCTTTCCACATTCCCACTGGCATCCCACTTAAGTTTTCAGATGGAACCAGCAGGTTTTACCTGGGGATCCAGGTGTGTAGATGGTTTTGTCTGTCTGGGTGAAGATATAGCCACTTTGGAAGGAGACCAAAACCACCTTCTCAAGAGTGAATTGAGGACATGTAGCCTGGATTAAGACATAGGTGTTTTTCTTGGAGTCCTTGTTTAGGTCTTTTGCAGGAACCTGTTTGGGGAAAAAATAGGAACCAGAAAATGAATTATTTCTAGCTTTTTTTTAGCAGCATAAACATTGCCTCATAAGTTATGTACTCATCATTTGAGTGATGAAAATTACCATCCTCAACAACTAACCCTATATCTACTGTGAGGCAATGCAGGATGTTGTGTCTTCACCTCAACACCCCCCCCCCCCCCCCCCCCCGTTGTTCCTCTGTTTCAATTCAAATACAGTCCAGCCTTTCTGCCATGGGCTGCATTTGTAGAATAATGAGATGTGTAGTAATTGAGCTTCTCATTCCTTATACACATTTATTTCAGTACACCTACATGTACTATGTATGCCAACTTTCATAAAATCCACATTAAATTGTTTCAACTTGAGGTATTCAACAAAGAGTTAATAGAAAGTGCAATGGCTAGGGAAGTTATACTAGTCCTAGAACTGCTAGTATAACTGCCCTGTAGCTGCCTCCTTTCCTAGGAGTTATATAATTTTTCGTGCCAGCGCTTTGCCCAAAAATGTGAAAGCCCATTTGGAACTAGATGAATTATATTATATTATATTATATCAGGTAAAGGTAAAGGTTTTCCCCTGACATTAAGTCCAGTTGTGTCTGACTCTGGGGGTTGGTGCTCATCTCCATTTCTTAGCCAAAGAGCCGACTTTGTCCATAGACACCTCCAAGGTCATGTGGCCAGCATGACTGCATGGAGCCCTGTTACCTTCCCGCCAAAGCAGTACCTATTAATCTACTCACATTTGCATGTTTTTGAACTGCTAGGTTGGCAAAAGCTGGGGCTGACAGCGGAAGCTCACACCGCTCCTTGAATTCGAACCTGCGACCTTTCAGTAACAAGCTCAGCAGCTCAGCACTTTGCCACCGGGTGCTATATTATATTATATTATATTATATTATATTATATTATACACATCTCACCACACTAAAACAGTGATGTGGCTCTTAATGAGACATGCCGCATTATCACGGGGTGTCTGCGCCCTACACCACTGGAGAAATTACACTGCTTAGCTGGTATTGCACCACCTGACATCCGCCGGGAAGTAGCAGCCAATAGTGAAAGGACCAAGGCAGAGACATCTCCAGCTCATCCCCTGTTTGGTATCAGCCAGCACGTCAACGACTTAAATCAAGACATAGTTTTCTTAGAATCTACAGAGACACTCTCTGGAACACCCCAGCAAGCGAGAGTCCAAAAGTGGCAGGCCCAAACCCAGCACCTCAATCCATGGGTGATACCAGATGAGAGACTCCCCACTGGGCACACAGAAGACTGGGCGACTTGGAAGGCGCTGAACAGACTGTGCTCTGGCACCACGAGATGCAGAGCCAACCTTAAGAAATGGGGCCACAAAGTGGAATCCACGACATGCGAGTGCGGAGAAGAGCAAACCACTGATCACCTGCTGCAATGCAACCTGAGCCCTGCCACATGCACAGGGAGGACCTTCTTGCAGCAACACCAGAGGCACTCCAAGTGGCCAGATACTGGTCAAAGGACATTTAACCAACTACCAAGTTTGCAAAATCTGTGTGTGTTTTTTCTTTTTCTTTTTAATCTGTGTGTTTGTTTTGTTCTGTTAGAATTGTAATACAATGGTATGGTTGCTGATGACACGATAAATAAATATATAAAACTTCTAGGGAGGACTGTTTTATGAAGCATAAATACTGTCCAGCAGACATGTAGCCAGGGGAGTACATTCTCATGGTGGTCGGCGAGAAGGCCTTACTGGTGCATTATTTAAACTGTTACGTTTATTCATATCATGATCTGATCACCATGCTCAATATATCCCATATGCATGGGGGTATTGGGGTAACGATACAAAAGGTTTGCTAGGGTAGACCCTCTTTCACTCAGACTCAGCTCCCCCCCCCCCACCCCCCCGAATCAAAATCCTGGCTACGGGCCTGTTGTCCAGTAAATATGTGTCTAGTCCAGATCCTAAATTCTCCCAACTGGCTCTGGAAGTAGCCACACACACTCAATTGAATCTACTGTGGTCCAATTGGGTCAGGACCTCATTGACCCCGTGAATATGTATTGTCAAAGGCTTTCATGTCCGGAATCACTTGGTTGTTGTAGATTTTTTCGGGCTATATGGCCAAGGAGAGAATGCCTCTAGAACATGGCCATGTAGCCCAAAAAAACCTACAACAACCCAGACTCCATGAATGTCTCGTCATCTTCTGTGTCACCAGTATCCGTTCCAGTCACACACAGAGATCTGCACAAACTCCTGATCATTGTGTGAACATGAGCAGAGGTCCATAACCTTCTCAAAACCTTCCTTGTCACACAGGCTCCACTGCTGATATCAGAATGGGCTGACCACAACAGTCAGGAGCTTGCACAGAGCTCATGGCTGACTGGGAGCAGTGACTGTGATGAGAGCAACAGGGGAAAGGACATTAGTGGAAGTATCCTGTGTGAACAGCATACCAGTCAAAGAATCATAGAATCATTGATTCTATGAGTTGGAAGAGACCTCATGGGCCATCCAGTCCAACCCCCTGCCAAGAAGCAGGAAAATTGCATTCAAATCACCCCTGACAGATGGCCATCCAGCCTCTGTTTAAAAGCTTCCAAGGAAGGAGCCTCCACCACACTCCGGGGCAGAGAGTTCCACTGCTGAACGGCTCCCACAGTCAGGAAGTTCTTCCTCATGTTCAGATGGAATCTCCTCTCTTGTAGTTTGAAGCCATTGTTCCACGTCCTAGTCTCCAAAGAAGCAGAAAACAAGCTTGCTCCCTCCTCCCTGTGGCTTCCTCTCACATATTTATACATGGCTATCATATCTCCTCTCAGCCTTCTCTTCTTCAGGCTAAACATGCCCAGCTCCTTAAGCCGCTCCTCATAGGGCTTGTTCTCCAGGCCCTTGCTCATTTTGGTCGCCCTCCTCTGGACACATTCCAGCTTGTCAATATCTCTCTTCAATTTTGATGCCCAGAATTGGACAGAATTGGACAGAAGCGTCTTGGGACTTCATTCCACGGGATAAGTAAAACATTTGAGATCGTTGGTTTACCCTTAAGTTTCACCACGCCCCATTTTGAAATTAAATGAAAGATTTCCCTACCCTCATCACACCTAATCCTTTTCTTTGCTTTCTTTAAGATTTGTCTGTTTGATTTGCCATTACACAGGAGACAGGTGAAGATGACAAAATAATCCCCTGAAGAATAAGGCATATTTCATTTACTGTATAAGCACAGATATCTCTCAATTAAAAAGCGAAATCTATTTATTTTATGTTTGAAAAGAGACCTATTAACGTTCCTTTCTCCTCGGTTCCAAAACGGTGATGGCAGAAAAACAGAAACAATGCTACCCATCTCGATTGCTCCCTCCATGTCATTGCTTTATTTACAAATGGGCAAGGGGGGGGGGGATTCCAATGACATGTTAAATTGAGTGTTTTTATACGTCTCTACACGGCAAATTGAAAAAGAAGTCAATTGCCAATTTACTTAGAAATCATGGGAAAACCCCACACTTTAGAAATGGTGAAATACCTGGAATCCACAGTTGAAGCTTGTGTCATGTTGGCAACCACACGGGTTGCCAATATTTAAGTGGCTAGAAACACTGACTTCATTGTGTGTGATGAAGTCCTTAACCGGATCTGATCAGCCTATCCCAGAAGCTGCTGGAATACTTCAGAGCTTCAAGCAAACTCCAGAGCATTCATTGATTTTGCTTTAAGCATCTGTAATGAATGCAGCTTGACATTGCTTTAACAGTCATGACTCAATATTATGGAATCCTGGAAATTGTAGTTTGGAAAGGCACCAGCACTATTTGGCAGAAAAGGCAAAAAATCTTGAATTACTACCACTTGCATAGCATTGACCCCTGGCAGTGGTGTCAAACTGCATTAGTTATACAGCATAGATAACCAGGATAATAACAATAATAATAATAATAATAATAATAATAATCTTTATTTATACCCTGCCACCATCTCCCCAACAGGGACTCGGGCCAACAGGATATTACAATAAAATAAAAACCAAAGCACAAAACAAAAACACAGTAAAATACATAAAACATATGAGTACAGTATAAAAATACAATACAAATTAATTCACAATCACAATGACCATAAGCGGGCCGCATGTGCAAGATAAGATACTAAAAACTCACAATGAGATAGGAATGGAGCAGATTATTTGTGAAGGAAAAGCTCATAAAAATGGGGTCGTAAAAAACAGGCCTTCATACAGGCAGGGGGAAGTGTACTATAGGAACAAAAACATAGAGGGGGCGCAACAGTGTATAGTTGTATGGCTACTCTCCGAAAGCGCAATGGAAAAGCCAGGTTTTGAGGTCCTTCTTGAAAGTTTTTAAGGTGGGGACTTGCCTAATCTCACAGGGCAATGAGTTCCAGAGTCGGGGGGCCACAGAGGAGAAGACTCTCGCCCTTGTTCCCACAAGGCGGGCCTGTGATAACAGCAGAGGCGAGAGGAGAACCTCCCCTGAAGATCGAAGAGCTCGGGCTGGTTCATAACTTGCGATATTCATTGGAAGTAGTAGAATGTTGTGAAGACAGCCAAGAGCCAACTCAGGGTCAGGTCGGTTTTCATGCCCATATAGATCTGCCCCCAGATAAAGGTACTGTATATCAGAATGTAGCATGCTTTTCTGCATGCACAGAGTGGCACCCCCTATAACCATCACCCCATACCCACCTTTATGAGAGGTGTCACCATCATGCCATTGTCTGGGTTCATGTTAGCTCTGATCAGGTACAAGGTGTTCCTCTTCTGTGGGAAATCATGGACAGAGATGGTCACGTCTGTGGCAACATTGAGCCCATGAGCCTCCACCACAATCTGCTCTTCACTCTCGAGCCACATGACATCAGGGACAAGCATGGTGTAGCTACAAAGGAGGAAAATGTAGTAATTCAAAGACGGTACATCTCAATGCTGCATTGTTAGAAAAGTCATGGAACAAATAATTCAAATGTAGTGTTAAATCTACATAAAGAAATTCAAACTGAACTGCTTGTCACTTCCATCTGCTTTCTCTTAAGTTCCTAGATATTTTGCTGCTTTCCTTCTGTCAAACTAACAGTAATCTCTCCTGTCTCTCTCTCTTTTCTAGGTCATGGGTGGGAATTGTGCAGCTTTCCTAATGTTGAACTGAAATTTTCAAGAGCCCCAAGTGGTATAAATAATGATACACCACTTATAGAGTGGCTAAGTTTTGTGTGGCAGCTATAAAAATTAGGAAGCAGCTTGTAGATGATTTTTGCAGATAAAGTATTAATGCACTCATTTTACGATCTATGCCTACATATTTTATAAGCATCACATATGAAGCCATGTAGATCAACTTGGTATTATGGACATTCTGCTTTAGTTGTTGTGAATTTCTGATCTTAATTCTTTTTAAAAAACAAAAAAAACCCTCTGTTTTTAATGTTTTACAGTTTTGAAGTTTTGCACTCCTGGTCTGTGACTGTAATAATAAAATTCATTCCATATGAAGTATGCTATGAACTGTAGTCTCAGAACACCTAGAAGGCTACAAAGTCTTGGTTTTAGTGTCTACCTACGAGCTGGCTTTCCTAGCTTTGCCCTTTGAAATGTTGTCAAAGAAAGTTACAAAGAAAGTTAAAGAAAATAGATACAATTTATTAAAGGGTTAGAATAGATAATGTGTTTGGGGATGGTGTGTTAAGCTGTCACTGGTCTGCTCTCAATCTCTGATGCTTTGAACTCACAAAAGTTTAAAAAAGATTTTTTTTAAAATTTGAAAAATAATATATTTGCTATGTAACCCTTGGCAAACACAATAACACACACCCCCTGGAAGAACTATAGTTTGCCAAGGGTTACGTAGCAAATATATTATTTTTCAATTTAAAAAAAAATCTTTTTTGAACTTTTGTGAGTTCAAAGCATCAGAGATTGAGAGCAGACCAGTGGCAGCTTAACACACCATCCCCAAATACGTTATCTATTCTAACCCTTTAATAAATTGTATCTATTTTCTTTAACTTTCTTTGTAACTTGTATCTTTCCTTTCCGTGGACTGTATCTATTTCTTATACATAGAATTAGCTTTCCCCTGCCATGTGTTGCTGTGGCCCAGTCTGGAAAATAAAATAACGAGAAAGCATTGGTTTCTAATAGATGTAATGTCTTTATGCTTGTGCGTAAACAGTATTTCTTGCTGTTTCTTTGTCAGTGTTGATGTGGAGATTGCCTGGGTTGCCTACTCTGGAATGTGCAACATAATTTACTTTCTTTAGGGGTCCCTTTCAAATCTATGATATTATATCTATGTGCGTGTGAATCATATCGATCTCTATGGCTGGATGGCTCTTTGTCAGGAGGGCTTTGATTATGTTTTCTTGCCCTGGCTCAATTCTATTATTGCTGGGGTTCAGAATGGTCTTTGATTGTAGGTGAACTATAAATCCCACTAAGTACAACTCCCAAATGTCAAAGTCTATTTTCCCCAAACTCCATCAGTGTTTATATTTGGGCATATTGAGTATTTGTGCCAAGTTTGGTCCAGATCCATCATTGTTTGAGTCTACAGTGCTCTCTAGATGTAGGTGAACTACAACTCCAAAACTCAAGGTCAATGCCCACCAAACCCTTCTAGTGTTTTCTGTTGGTCAGGGGAGTCCTGTGTGCCAAGTTTGGTTCAATTCCATCGTTGGTGGAGTTCAGAATGCTCTTTGATTATAGGTGAACTATAAATCCCAGCAACTACAACTCCCAAATGGCAAAATCATAATTTTTGAGTGATGGTCACTCCTTGTGTTGTGAGATGTTTTGTTGCCAAATTTGGTGTGATTTCGTTCATTGGTTCTTTTGTTTTTAAGGTACTCATTATGCACAGAGCATTTATATATACCAGTATATAGATTATATATAAGAAATTATTTATAAAATGTAACAAGAAACAGCCATCTCTTCATAACTCTCCTTAGAGAATCTCTTGAGAACAGGAAGGGTAAATCCCTCTGGCCATTTCCCAAGCCAAATAATTATAAAAATCCATTGTTCATGTATATACAGAGATAGCTGATTTCCTGTGTCAGCCTAGATAAATTCAAAATTGTACAACTAATTGGTCCACTTGAAGCTGCGAGATTGATGCCCACAGAAGCTCAGAGTATGTACATTTGTTGAACCTCTTTATTAGTAGCCCAGCCCTTGCTTGCCCAAGATCATCACCTTTCGTTTCAGGAGCTTTGCATCTTTGGAAGCTCCTGTTTTTGTTAACACAGAAGAGGGCAGTTGAACTAATCAAAAGCTCATTATCATTTGAAGATGACTCCTCCTCCCAGGGAATGTCCCATTAGCTGATTGGTTTCTCAGCCAGCCAATCCCTAGCCATTATTTCCCCACTTAAGGGAATCCCCACCTGAAGGCAGAGCCATCAGCAGAACTCCCAACCAATAAGGGTGCAGATTCAGACTGCCCCTCTTTCAAACAATCAAGGGAGAGAGTGGGAGTTTTGAATAACTGTCAAACCGTATAAGATGTTGTGCTTTCTCTGTATGTTTATGCTTGTACATTTTGAGGCATCCACTTGTACTTGTATCCATTTTGGCCAAATTGAATTAAACCTCTGTGGCTTGTCTTCAGCCTGGTGAGTGTTTCCCTCTCCTGGTCAATTTGGTTTAGCATATACTCACCAGGTATGGATCCTCTTGTCCACTGTTCTAGCTTATCCACTACATTAACACACCTCTTTCCACAAGGCCCATCTAAATGTTTAACCTCAGCATCCTAATTGACCACTATCCCCCCTCACACATTATGTGGAATACTTTTTGAGGACCTTAGGTGTATCAATTGTGTGTGCACACAGTGGTTGCAGATCAGTGCATGTCTCTTAGGAACAACAGCATATGTCATAGGCAGCTGTCTTGATATTCAGAAGAATAGGCTATACTCTCTAGCTGTCCTGATTTGGCAGGGACAGTACCAATTAATTATATGCAAATTTTCAGCTACTTTTAAAATATCCCCTTTTCTCTCTCCTTCTCTCGCTTCCCCTCAGCCTCCTTAACTTACTTAAATTTCCTGTAAAGTGGATTCAAAGTGAAAAACTAGTTTGCACTTAAATTGGGGAAGGGAGGAGAGGAGGAGCAGAATCTTACTCTTCCCAGTTGGATCAGATAAAAGCAAATTGCTGCAGATTTTACTAGTTTGTGTGTTTGTCTCTATTAATGTGTTTTGCTATCTTGTCCACATCTGTTTTCCTCTGCGAATCTTTAGAAGTTGAATATATTTCTGTGTGTGGAGGGCTGTAGCTAAGGTGGGTGGGTTGGATTTTGGGTTCTTCCCTGGATGCCGCAGGGTTCTGTCCTGGGCCCGGTCCTGTTCAACATCTTTATTAATGACTTAGATGAAGGGCTAGAAGGCATGTTCATCAAGTTTGAAGATGACACCAAATTAGGAGGGATAGCCAATACTCCAGAGGACAGGAGCAGGAATCAAAACGATCTGCACAAATTAGAGAGATGGGCCAAAACTAACAAAATGAAGTTCAGTGGGGACAAATGCAAGATACCCCACTTTGGCCTCTATTCTGCTTTGGTTAGACCACACCTGGAATATTGTGTCCAATTCTGGGCACCACAATTCAAGAGAGATATTGACAAGCTGGAATGTGTCCAGAGGAGGTGACTAAAATGATCAAGGGTCTGGAGAACAAGCCCTATGAGGAGCAGCTTAAGGAGCTGGGCATGTTTAGCCTGAAGAAGAGAAGGCTGAGAGGAGATATGATAGCCATGTATAAATATGTGAGAGGAAGCCACAGGGAGGAGGGAGCAAGCTTGTTTTCTGCTTCCCTGGAGACTAGGACAAGGAACAATGGCTTCAAACTACAAGAAAGGAGATTCCATCTGAACATGAGGAAGAACTTCCTGACTGCGAGAGCTGTTCAGCAGTGGAACTCTCTGCCCGGGAGTGTGGTGGAGGCTCCTTCTTTGGAAGTTTTTAAACAGAGGCTGGATGGTTATCTGTCAGGGGTGATTTGAATGCAATATTCCTGTTTCTTGGCAGGGGGTTGGACTGGATGGCCCATGAGGTCTCTTCCAACTCTTTGATTCTGTTATTCTATGATTCTATGAAACACAACCCTAATGTTTGGTGATCCTAACGTGACCTGGTATATGTGTACTTACACTTACACCAGAACCGGATAGATTGCATTCCTGTTTGTAAACTCAGATTGCTAAAAGAAGCTTTCAACTGTTTTTTTCTGCAATACAACTGAGGAGCTATGCCCTTAAGGGATTACAGTGGCATGGAATTCAAACAAAACAGTACAGACTGAAATGTAAGCCAACAGGGAAATTCATCGTTCTTAAATTTCTGCCAAGTTCACTAGTCTAAGAAGCAAAGCCATGTGTCAAGTACCAAATAATTCAAGTGGCTTTTACACACATTGAGTTAAGGTGCATCTACACTGCAGAATTTATGAAGTCCAACAACACTTGAACTACCATGGCTCAAGGCTACAGAATCATGGGAGTTGCAGTTTTACAAAGACTTTTGCCTTCTTTGCCAAGAGGATTGATACCTCTTCAAACTACACCTCCCTGGTTTTCATTGCATTGGGTCATGGCAGTAAAGGGGGCATCAAACTACATTAATTATACAGTGTAGAGATGCATCTTTAGTGGAAGGTGCTGTTTTGCCTTTGGCAACTAAGATCTCAGTTCTGTTGTAGACTGTTTTGATATAATGCATATGAAGGGCTTTGACAATCATGAATAGCTGATTTTGTGTGGATGTGGATAATTTTGATTATTACACGAAGTGTTGTGAGCTTTTATTATTTGTGTGACATTTTGTTTATTTTGGGGTGTATTTATATTTTAATGTCTTGATGGGGAATGGAATTTC